TAGTGAGTTTGATAGGGGCCGTATAGTGGGACTTCGGGAAGCTGGACTTTCTTTTCGGGCAATTGCAGTTAGAGTGCAAAGAAGTGTAGACACTGTGGTTAGGTGTTGTCAGGCATGGCTTCGAGAAGGCCGTACGCAAAGAGCAAGGGGCACTGGACGCCGCCGTAGAACAACAGACCGTGAAGATCGCCGCCTAAGATTATTGGCCTTAAGGGACCGTTTCTCCACTACCAGGTCCATTGCAAATGAATGGTTTGCAGAACACAGAAGACCTATTGGCATGCGAAGTGTTTACCGACGAATGAGAAGTTTTGGCTTGTTTTCATACCGGCCACACTGGGTCCTCCCTTTAACTCGAGAACACCGACCTAATCGCCTTGAGTGGTGCAGACAACGGTCACTCTGGGATCAGGAATGGAACAGTATTGTCTTTAGTGACGAGTCTCGATTTTGTTTAGGCATGCACGATGGTCGTGCCAGGGTTAGAAGGCGACGTGGTGAAAGGAGGAATCCACAGTTTTTTGTTGAAAGACATGTTCATCACACTGTTGGAGTTATGGTTTGGGGTGCTATAGCTTATGGTTCCAGGTCACCTTTGATCTTCATCAGAGGTAACATGAACGCGCAGCGTTATATCCACGAAGTTCTAGAACCCCATCTTTTACCCTATCTTGACACCCTGGCAGATCCAACTTTCCAACAAGATAATACCCGGCCACATGTTGCAAGAATCACAATAGACTTCTTTCAACATAATGATGTCACATTGTTACCATGGCATCAAGATCTCCCGACTTATCCCCAATTGAGCACGTGTGCGATATGATGGGTAGGAGATTGCTCAATTTGCAACGTCCTCCTCAGACTCTAGAAGCACTTCGAGAGGAGTTGGTGGTTGCCTGGAATGAGATACCAGAGGAGGACATTGACCACCTGATCAGAAGCATGCCTAGGCGCGTTGGAGAATGCGTAGCACATCAGGGTGCATCCACACATTATTAAAGGTCAAAGGGCTTTAAAGCAGTGCAATCATTTTGAAATTTTTATCATTTACTTATTATGCTTCATTAAGTACTTATACAAAATTTTATTAAAATAAAACCATTTAAACTGGGTGTTCGGATTTATATGTCACTTAGTATATATTATTTGTAGTCACCGTTCTTGACGGGTCAAAGTAAGACTACCAGTATCTCTTTATATATCTCCATCTCCCTCATACATACACATGCAACCTACCCGTGTGTGAGCGTTTGTTCGGTAAGCTCAAAGACATACGTTTTTTAGTTGTGTGTCTCCATCTCGAAAACTTTGTCGTTGCGTTTGAGTGTCCTTCAATCATATTTGTCAGTGACAGCTTAATTGACATCGGCGTGCAATATAAGTTGTTCTTCAATATCTTCAATATAAAATTGTTCAATGTCCGGAAATACGATCAATGGACAAGGCCGACAGCTCACGCTAACTTTTTTAGAGTATTTCCAGGAAGAGAATGAAAGCAGCGGTCCCCTGTAACCAACTTCATGCATACTGAAGAGAGTAGCAGATGCGCAGTGTTCAGCGAATAACATCAGAAAATAAGAAAGGTTTGCCCATAGTAACACCTGGGTAAACTCACAAAATCAAAAAGTGCAAGACCGATGATGTAAGTGATGCCGTCAAAACAGAAGTTAGGAATTCTTTCCACGATATGACAAGTAAAGGAAATCATATCACGACCTCTGCGCTCAAGATCCGCCCATGGTACGGAGACTCGATCTGTTTACTTATTTCATATGGCGTTGATGACGTGACCGCCAAGAACGATGATTATGACTATATATATAGGTACGTAATATATACGAGCCCCTTCCCACTTCAGTTGGCCCAACTATTGAAATCTTAGTTTTTTTCTTATCAAACACAAATAATAAAAATGTAGAAGGGTGTTATAAGTTTAAAATATTAACAATGAATATTTTGATAATATATAGTAGAAAACACCAACTTTATCACTCCCTAATCAAATTTGCAGCATAAAAATAACACAAGTTGCAATTACAGCATATCAACCTATTTTCATTTCAATGCAAAATAAGTCTATAACGCATAGGTGGCTGTGAAAAATAAAAGCCATGACAATTGTTTTTATTAATCACAGCTGTCCGAATACGTTTAAAATAGTTTTGGGTAGTTAAGGTTTTCAAAATGGGTAGAGGAAAAGTCATTTGTGAGAAAATTCGGTTACTGATAATTAAATTTTTTAATTCTGGGAAATCAAACTCAGAAATTGCAACTTTGTTAGACTTATCGCAGTACAGTGTGAGAAATATTGTTAGAAGATATAACGTAACTGGTTCAGTTAATATTAAGCCACGATATGTGAAAAAAGTAATATTACAAATGCCGACCGAAGAGCATTAAGAAGAATAATCGTGAAAAACAGGCGTGCCAATTATTTACAATTAAGTGATCTGTGGAGTGACGCTGTTGGAAGGACAATTTCGAGGTCCACAACTCATAGAGAGGCCCACAAACTGGGATTTAGCACTTACTAGGTAAGTTTTCTTATAAAAAAAGTTGAAGTAACAACCCTAAAGTTGCACAACTTGTTTATAGGCCAAAAAAAGCCACTATTAACTCCACTGCAAAAGAAAAATCGGCTTAGATGGGCTAAAGAACATAGACAATGAACACCTTAACAATGGTGTGCAATACAATGGAGTGATGAGGCCCGATTCGAAGTTTGTGTTGGTGACAGTCGCAGTAGAGTTATTCGCAAAAAAAATGAAGCATTCCATGTTGACTGTCTGAAGAGAAAACTGAAATTTCCAGCATCCATTATGGTCATCAAAATGAGTAGGAAAACTTCATTTTATTGATGGAAATGTGGATACAAACAAATATTTGGCAATTTTAGAAGAATCGCTTTTATTAGTGATGGAAGAATGTTTGACATCCGGCCAAGATTTTGTGTTTCAGCAAGATGGTGCAGCGTACCATACCTCAAAAAAGACTATAAAATGGATGGAAGAAAATAATGTACCTCTTTTGAAATGGGTTTCTAGCGGTCCAGATCTGTCACCTATTGAAACTTTGTGGCACGAGATGAAAAAGGTTCTACGACAACATCCTGCTCGTACAATTACCGAACTGAGACAAAAGCTTCAAGAAATATGGGATTGTTTTACACCAAATTTTTGCCAACACTTGGTTAACACTATGCCCCACAGAATTTCAGCCGTATTAAAAAATAAAAGTGATGTTACCAATGGTAATCTTTCAATTGTTGCTTTGTTAACTTCGCGCATTTATTCGCACACTGCTTATTTGTTCAGATGTTCTATTAGTTATAGGTCTAAGTGATTTCAAATATGTATTTTTTACGACTAGAGTGTATCTAAAATGTTTTTGAGAAAATAAATTGTTTTAGAAGTAAATAGTTTCTTCATGTTTAGTTTATAAAGGCATATTTTGGTACAAACCTTGAAGTGGGCCAACTGAAGAGGGAAGGGGCTCGTATATATACAGGGTGACTTTGAAGTTGAGTCATTAATTTTCAGATAATGATTGTAGAAGGCAGATAAACCAAAATATGTGTGTAAAAATAAAATAAAAATTAAAAAAAAATGTTACCTTGTTTTATAAAGTATCCTCCAGACAAGTATTTCAGTGCGGACCTGTATTTGATCGTGAGGTCTTGGAGCACCGGCATGCCCTCCCCTGTGAGGTCTTAGGTCACCTGATTCACGAGCCCGTTGTACTACATTAACAAAGGCACGAGGGGTTGGTTGCACTCGATTGGGAAACCGATCCGCATAAACATGTGCCATTTTTTATTTCGTTTGAGCCACGCAGCAAACACCACTATTCACTCACGCGTTACCGACTGACACATTGACTAAATAAAAACATCGTGATCAGCGTTTCAAATTCTTTCGCTTTTTTGTTTCCGATGCGATGAACCGATAAGGCGGATTATATCCGTTGTTGCCAAACACGAGCACGTAATATTATTATTGAGACAGGGCGGTACTCAAACTTCTAAAGGGCTATAACTTTGTTACTTCAATTTTACCACAAAAATGTTAAAGGAAAAAATATTTCTTTTGATCAGATCTACTCACTGTTAAAATAAATGACTCAACTTCGAAGTCACCCTGTATATAGTATACGTAATATATATATATACATATATATATATATATACCTATGTTATTTTTAATTATGTTTGTATGTTACGTGAAAAAACTTATTATTATTATTATCATTATAGTATCTCCCGGTCCTTCCCCAGTAAAAATATGGCGAGCTTATCCGCTGTCAACAAAGTTATGTCAAGAGTTTTCGTAATAATGCATTTTATTAAGACATCACAATCCATCATTAACGATTTAATTGACTTTAGGTCTAGCCTAGAGCCAAAAAATTCTAGCACTAGTGCCTGACTTATTTCAATTTACTCATAAAATTAATGTAGATTGAATGGAGAAAGAAAAGATATTTTCATGTCGTCGAATTATTATTGAGTCTTGTCACACTGTTTTTATAGTACTCTCAGTCTTTCACAGTACTGATACAGATTCAAGCTTTCCTTTTCATCATATGTATTTCCATTGCAAGATTGTGGCTTTTGATATGTAGAAATATTTTTGCAAAATCACATACTCTACTGCATACATACACTCATACTTATTAGATTCATGTGTAGTAAGAAAAGAAATACTTTTGAATATGTATGTGAATGCTTAATTTGAAAGTGGACTTTTTCTAATGCTGCAGGAGTACCAAGTCGATGAAGTCAATGCGCAGCGATCGTGTGCCACGTCAGAGCTTAGACTCAGCCACACGAACACATAAAATCATATATCAGCTTTTAGAATTGCGTTAAAGCCCACATATATTACTCACCTACATACCTTATGCTTCCATAAACCATGACCTCTTGGATAATGGCACTATTCCCAAAAAGAATGGCCACAATTGACTTAGTTGATTTGTGCTCAAAAATGATAAGTACTGCGGTAAATATAATTTTTATTAAATAATAAAAAATTTTTCTCATAATGAGTATAGGTTATAAATATGTTTTTACTTATTAAACTATATTTTAAATAAGAGACAAGATTAGAAAAAGCATTATTCCTTCTTCATATTTGGTTTCTTTATATGGTGATAGTTTGGTAGCATCTTTGACAAAGTTTCCATCTGAAGCGTTTGTGGCTATAACACAAAAATTATATAAGTTAGTCACTTATGGATAACGTATTTCTTTATAATAATACAATAATAATGATAATTCATAGTAAAAAAAAGAAAAGAAAATTAAGTGCATTTTCAACCTTCGACACAAAAAAACAGCATTATAAGTTTTACGTGTGTATCTGGGAGTCTGTCTTTGACATCCTAAATCGCAAATGGCTGAACCAGTTCTGATTTAGCCCGATTATCCGAAATCCTCTTTATCCGAAACAGATCGCATACGATAATTTCTCCGTTTTAACCGTTCGGGAAATTGGCGCATGATACGAAATAGCCGCCGGTAGTTCTTTCGGCATTTGCGTCATTAGGTTCGCTGCCTGTGATTTCCCAAGCGCGTTTGCGGATTTCACTGGTATGTGTGCGTGTATGTTTGTTTCAGTCAGGTTCATAATCGCTAGAAATAAACGTAAACGCGCTGTTATTACCATAGAACAGAAACTTGAGGCAACAAGACGTTTAAATAGAGGTGATTTGCTTAAAAACGTGGCAAGTGATTTGGGTGTCACGGAAAACTATGAAAAAGGGGGAATATCAAAAAGTGGATTATCCTTGTTATATCTGTGGTTTACAGAATAAAGAACGTGGAATACCAATTTCCGGATCAATTCTAAAGCAAAAACTTAAGTGAAGAATTGCCAGTTATTGAGGCACCTGATAACTGTACAGCCAGTGATGCTTGGCTGCATAGATGGAAAAAACGAGAATTAAAAGTTTGCGGAGAAAAGTTATCTGCCAATAAGTCCGCTACATTAAAATTTGGAGAACACTTTAAAAAATTAGTGAAGCAGTATGGCTTAAATCCAGAACAAATTTACAACTGCGACAAAACGGGCCTAAACTATAAAATGTTACCGGCGAAAAGTTTAGCTTCAAAACAAGGATCTGGAGCTCCTGGTTACAGACGCAGCAAAGAACGTGTGACTATCCTTGCTTGTAGCAATGCTTCCGGTGCACACAAACTTCCTTTGTTGTTAATCCGAAAATCAGCTAAACCAAGAGCATTTAAACCCGTCCGTCCCAACGCTCTTCCAGTATGGTATAAAAATCAAAAAAATGCCTGGATGGATGCCGCTCTATTTAAGGACTGGTTTTACAATCATTTTGTTCCAAATACAGAACAATATTTGAATGAACGCTTATATCCGAGAAAATGTATTTTGCTATTAGACAATGCTCCAAGCCACCTAAGTGAGTAGCAACTTAAAAGTGGGGAAATACGAGTGATGTTCTCGCCTTCTAATGTAACGTCACTGATTCAGCCGATGGATCAAGGAGTTTTAGACAATCTAAAACGCAATTATAGACGTTTGTTATTAGAGCAAATTTTAGATCAAGTTGATAATGGTTGTAACCTCGTTGATTGTTTATACGAGATCAACCTCAAGAATGTGGGATATTGGATAGCAGAAGCATGGAGCCAAATAAAAATTCTACTTTACAAAAATCTTGGTCGACAATAATTAAGCAAGAAATGGAACCTTGCGCAGACTTTGAGACTAACAACGAAAATTTACATGATCTCGTCGTAAAAATAGCAGGGTGTGTAAATTCTACACAAGCAGATGTTGGTGAGTGGACTAATGGTGATGAATTGATGGAATAATTAACTGATACAGAACTAATAAAAACTGTTTGTAACAATGATGATGAGACAGTTTTAAGAGATGCTAGTGACAATGAGACAGAAATCTCTGCCAAAATATCACTTTCTGAGGGATTAGAAACTCTACAAAGGGCGTTGACTTATGTCAAACAACAAGCAAATGCGACAGCAGCTGAGGTGCTACTTATCAAATGTTTGAGGGATATTGCTGCCAGAAATAGGTACAATGCAAAACGCGTTCAGTTAAAACATGCTTATATTTTACGTAACTTTATATAGGTGTATATACTCAATTAACACATGCATTTACTTTTTTCAATAAAAGCATTATGAGTCTAAATATTTATTTCTGTTTTATCTGAAATTTCGATTATCTGAAAGCACTTGGGTCCACATTATTTCGGATAATCAGGGTTCTACTGTAATTGAATCTGGTGTTCCAAGCTTATGTACATTTTATAACAATCTGTTCAGCCATTTAACAAGCAATATTTTATTGTTGAGGAACAATGCAAATTTTCAAAGAAAATTTTTGTTTGATAATACCTTTTTTTTATTTTTCTCTTGGTGCAACCCTAGTCAATGTGAGGCCCCTAGGCAGTTGCCAACTCTACCTAATGGTTAATCCAGCTCTGACCTTCTAAGTTAAAACTCATCAAAGGCTTGAAAATGTTTAATTCCTTTTTTTGTCATTACGGTTCCTTTTATTTACATTTATCCTTACTTACACCTGGTCTATCCAACCCTTCCCTCATCTGACAATTTACACCAAAAATTATTACATTTTCGGGTAATATCTGCTCATCAGTAATTTTGCATCCAGCACCTATAGTACAGCCATTGGAAATTGTCACTTTATTCCCTACGAAACATTTTGATTCAAAAACATTGTTATTGCCTATTTTAGGTGCTTCCACAATGCAGTCAACTTCAAAAACATTGTTTGAGCCTATTATTAATACTGGCTGTGAATTTTCATTGCTTTGTTGATCAAATGGTAACCTGAAATAAAGGTAGTTTGTAATATTCAAAAAATAGAGTACTACTAGTAGTTATGATCACCCATGTATTAGACTGGACCACATTTGTTTTAAGTTTTTCCAGATAAGCATGGAGGTTTATCAGCATGAAAACCACAGGGTATGTTTCGTACATTACATTCCTCATAGTTATACCAGAGTTTACTAATTGAAGTTCTCAATAGGTCTTTCCCTCATCTGCATCTATCAGATGATGCCAATTGAGGACAAGTGGACCACCAGATCAAGTATATAAAAGTTTTGGAAAAGTAACCAACCCTATTTGACCAGAATAGTGGTAGCCTGGAAGTTGGGAAACTCCCATATACTTGTTTATTGGGCCCCATACTCCCATACACCACATAGCTGTGACATTTAAGTTCATTTTTTTGCCTTGACTTGTGCAATAGAGGTACTATTTAAGAAGGTGAAACATGGAAGCCTTCATCAAATTCCCTTATTTGTTTTGGTTAGAAATAACAAAAGATAAAATTTATAAGTAGTAGGTACTGTGAAGTCATTCATGAAACTTGGCTCCTAGACTTTACAAGGATGAGAAATCGAAGAAATATATGTGTGTGGCAAATCAACTATACATGTTGTGATGACATACCTGTGAACGATTTTGACTTGTTCCTCTATCAAACACCAGTCTCCAATGATGATGGGGCCAGCTTCCGCGATAATAACAGCACTTGGGTGGACTATTGTCCCAGATCCAATGGTAATATCACCTCTCAACTTACTTTCCTCACAAACCATGGCGCCCGGAAATATTTTTATACTACAAGAAGGAAATCAGTTAATTGTACAACATAACAAAGCGGACTACATACTTATTCCGTGACATCATAATTTCCAATTTGACTGAAGAAGAATTACAAACTAATCTTTTAATCACAACATTTGACACATAAACATAACCACAGATTATACACCGGATGCGACACCTGCACCTTTGATCTTCGTGTCCCCAACTGCTTACCACATTTCCGGCTTATGTTCAATAGCGCCCGGAAGATTTTTTCCTAGGGGTTTGATACGCGTTATTAGCAAGACGTCACGAATGTCATATGTCAAACAACATAAATCAAATCCATAATCAAATTCAAGCGGATAACCAAATGGAAATGGTATTTACCATTTTGGGTTGGTATTTACCGATCCATTCAAGCGAGTGTAGTTATCAGTTTGGTTATAAGATCCGTGACGTCACGAATCAGCTGTTATATGTCATAGTTATCACCGCAAAATTGTGGTATTTATCCAACTCAAGAGTAGTTTTATATTTCTGGTTATTATTTGAAATGTGACAAGTTAGAATTTTGCCGGCTATTGGATATTGTTATTGTACTTCTGCTTCATTTTTGAGAAAATTGGAGGCTGACTCCAGTTTTACCATAAAGTGGAGCACCTTATTAGTTATACTCATTACGGTTGTTGGGGACACTTTAAATGTAGTTCCTATGCTTAACAAAGTATCCTGTGTAGCCATATACCACAAGAATATTAAAATATGGCTATATAAACTCACTAGATGATATCCAACTGTATACGGTTTTGCCAATTTCTTTTTTCATCATTTCTGCTGAATCAATAAGTGTTTTCTTTGACATGCGGAAAAATTTAGAGAATTGAAAGTTATCATAGCTACAAAGCCATGGTTCCATCATTCAAAAAAAAATATGAAAAAAACATTTCTCCCATGAATATTATGAAAGGTTTCTTATTTAAACTCTCCATATACAGTTGTAGACGAAAAAGCAACTTGCAACAAAACCGCGGTTAAAACCAACGCGTTCAAGCGATTCGTGTAACGGACGTCATCAACCCGTGTGTCATCTTGAACCATATTATAACCGCGGCACAAAACACAGAAATTTTGGTTATTCGCTTGGATTTGATTCAAGCGAACAACCAAAATTTGTGTTATGTACTGCGGTTATAATGTGGTTCAAGATGACACACGGGTTGATGACGTCAGTTGCTCGAATCGCTTGAACGCGTTGGTTTTAACCGCGGTTTTGTTGCAAGTTATTTATTTTAGAAAAGCCCGTATATAATTTCTGATTATATTTATTCACTTAATAAATGTATTTTTTCAGAAAAAATTTTTTACTGATGGAACCATGGCTTTGTAGCTATGATAACTTTCAATTCTCTAAACTTTTCCGCATGTCAAAGAAAATATTTATTGATTTAGCAGAAATGATAGGAAAAACGAAAAAAGATATTAATAAAACCGCGCATACAGGTGAACATCATCAAGTGAGTTTATATTGCCATATTTTAATATTCTTGTGGTATATAGCTTCACAGGATACTTTGTTAAGCATAGGAACTAGATTTAAAGTGTCCCCAACAACAGTAATGATTATAACTAATAAGGTGCTCTACTTTATGCTAAAACTGAAGTCAGCCTGTATCAAGTTTCCCAAGAATAAAGCTGAAGTGCAATAACAATTTAGCAATATCCAATACTCGGCAAAATTCTAACTTGTCACATTTCAAATAATAACCAGAAATATAAAACTACTCCGGCGTGGGGTAAATACCACAATTTTACGGTGATAACTATGACATATTACAGCTGATTCATGACGTCACGGATCTTATAACCAAACTGATAACCAGACTTGCTTGAACGGATCGGTACATACCAATCCAAAATGGTAAATACCATTTTCATTTGGTTATCAACTTGAATTTGATTATAATCAAGAAACTTATTTGTGTTCATTTACCCACATGCATTTTGGCGAGATAATAATTATTATTTCTTGAAAAGCTGTTTATATATTTACATAATATGGTATTGATAAAACTCATTGTTTTTCATAGCCCCTAAATGTCATTGCAACACGAATCCCACCACGCGCATAGGACCCAAGTTGGTGTTGATAGAACCTGATATTTGACAGACTGTCGGCTCTGTATACTCGTATTACTCTGTGACATAAATATAACCTAATAATTAAAACTTGGGATGTTGACCTTTTCCGCCAGCAGTACCACCTATTCAGGGATACCAGACACTGTCTCTCAACATTTAAAGGGTGTCCCAAAATTAACGCAAGATTTGAATTTGCCGCCATTTGTGCAGTGAAGTGTTGGCAACCCTGAAAAAAAGCAATTTGACAGCTAACAGTATAGGGTTATGAAAAATGGAGCGTTACACGATAGAACAACGTGTCTTCATTATTAAAGAATATTTCAAAAATAGTGAAAGCTTGGCGGCTGCAGTTCGAAAATTTCATACAAAATATGGCCGGAATAGTGTTTTAACTTCGTCAACTGTGAAGAGATTAATTGAAAAATTCATGGAGACTGGATCCGTTGGAGACGCCAAACACACTGGTCGTCCAAAAACAAGCCGTTCAAATGTGAATATCGAAGCAGTGCGTGAGAGTGTTGCGGACAATCCAGGAACCTCAATTCGACGTCGTGGACAAGAATTGCAAATGTCAAGAACCTCTCTACAGCGTATACTCACCAAAGATCTGTGTCTTCATGCTTACAAACTTCAATTAACACAACAAAATTGAAGCTTAATGACCATGCAGAGAGAAGAGAGTTTGTTGAATGGATTATTGAACATCAACAAATGGACCCTGATTTTTCAAGCAAAATCATCCTAAGCGATGAAGCACATTTTCATCTTGATGGCTTTGTCAATCGCCAAAATTGCCGCATTGGGGGTTCGGAGAACCCACGTGTGATTGTCGAAAAAGAAATGCACCCACAACCAGTGGCGGCTCGTGCCAATTCAGTGAGGTAGTGCCAGAATGGAAGCCATAATTTTGAATCGATTCAAAATTGTAAAGAATAACTTATAACTTACCCCTGATAGTTAGTGGTCAAAGTTCTTGAGGTTCAATAAATCTATATGTCCAAAAAAAAATCAAAAATAAAACTATTTACACACGCGCACCAAATTATAAAACAAGTGTGGAGAAGTACCTATAACTTCAAAGTTTTCTATACATGAAGTCCATTCTTCTTTCTTTTTTGGTAGCAAAGTTTTCGATTACCTTATTATTAAAATTTTCAATGCCACTAACAAAATGTTTTTCTGCAGACAGCATTCCTAAAGCACTAAGCCTTTCTTCCTTCATTGTGTTTCTGAGGAAAGTTTTAATCCGTTTCAGCATTGAAAAAGAGCGTTCTGCTTCAGATGTTGACATCGGTATAGTGATTAAAATACTTAAGAGCTTAAGAGTTTCTTGAAACGTACAATTTAATCCTTCCTCGTTCAATAAAATGGATAGTGGAACAGCTCCAGAAGTAGTACTCAATTCTTCTCTCTGATATAATACTTGTAACTCAGTTTTAAGCCTGTTTTTGTCTAAAAATGAAAATTGTGTGCATGTGTCATTTAAATGTGCTTCAGGAAACTGATGTTTATAAACAGAAAACTTTTCAGACACAAATAAATTAGAAGCAACTAAATGCCCAGAAAAGTTAAATCTTGTTCTTATTTGCGATAATACTGCATCGCATATTTCTAACGCTTCCCGTTTTTTGCTGCCTTCTTCAACTTGCCTTTTTTTTCTTGCCGGTTCATCAGTTTCTCTCTGCACTCGTTCAATCTCGTCAATAATGCTATCCATTTGTTCTCGTATAGTTTGAATTGCTGCTTCAAAATTCTCTAAATCATTTTTGACCTTAACAGAATCGGTGCATACTTTTTGTAATTGGTTAAAGACAATTTCAACATGTGGCATTATTTTATGGAATATACTTAGCCAAAATACAAAATTTGTATCTTGCAGCTTTAATTTGTACCCACTGGCTTGATTAATCGACGAAGAATCGCGTGAAGTACTTTCTATATTGTCCATAACTTCAATCAGGTCTTTCCTATTTTCATAAACTGTATGAACACCTCGTGACTGAAAATTCCAACGTGTTTGGGAAGATCTTGGCAATCTGCGATTAACTATTTCATCCAAAATTTTTGTTCTTTGAGGAGACGTCGAAAAAAAAGAGCACAATCCAGATAAATTATGGAAAAATATTCTAGCCTGCTTATTGACAGAGCATGCGCTTGTCATAATTAGATTTAACTGGTGTGCATAGCAATGAACATAATTTGCAAGTGGATAAGTTTCCTTAATAATCTTTTGAACGCCATTCAATTCACCACTCATAACAGACGCACCATCATAGCTTTGAGCTATTAATTTGTTTGGATTTTGATCTATTAATGGATTTACAACATTTAAAACGCATGCAGCGATTGATTTGGCATCGTGTCCGTCGGGGACGTAAAATCTCCAAAATCTCTCAACTGGTTGTCCTTTACACAAATATCTGAAAATAATAACTAACTGAAATTCACAGGCTACGTCAGTCGTTTCATCGGCAATTACTGCAACAAAAGGAGAATTTGCAATCTCCTTCTTAACTTCTTCATGATAAACATCTAGCATGCACTCAAGAAGCTCGTTTTGAGTTGTTTTTGAGGTACCCTTGAAAAGTTTGGCACTTTGAATATGGACTTTCAATTCGTTGTCTAATTCGGCGCTAAAATTCACCAGCTCCTTAAATATGCCTCTGTTTTCCGAATTTTCCTTTTCATCGTGACCCCTTAAGGCTAACTCAAATACTCCACAAAACCTTATACAATTAATAATTTTATTCAATACATATCGATTCTTATCCACTTGATTATTATGTTTAATTAGATCATTGCGATAAGCCGAATTGAGTTGAGTCCTTATATTTAATTTACCAAGAATAGAAAAGCTAAAAACATTATTCATATGGACTTTAGATTTTTCGTGGGTCTTCATTTTATCCCATATATGTATAAGATCATCTGTACCTTTTTTTGACCAAGTCTCGTCACCTCCAAATAGAACACATACAAAACAAAATAGTTTATTCGTTTCTTCACAACCACATATCCAGCTGTTTTTATCGTACACATTTTTATTAAATTTGCGACAGCGCGATTTTTGTCCGCTACCACTTTGTTTCTCAATTTTTAAATCGGGTATTGGCCGTCCTAATTCTTTAATTTGCAGTTTTTGATCCAGCGAAAAACCACTAAATGAGTTTTTTAATATCCCGATTTTATTCATTTTCACTAGTTTTAATAAAACAGTAAAAAATATGATCACAAAACAGAGCAGTTCATTAACACTAGACGTACTAAAACAAAAACGTTATTTCTCACTTTTCAGGTAAAAAAAGACCGAAATCAGCACTAGACGTAATCATAACGAAACGACCGACCGAACAAAAACACCGCCGATATCATTTGATAACGAATTACGACTGATGATGTGCCTGGCACAAATTATACTTGTCTTTCGCTATTCACCTCATATAAAAATGTGTATTGTAGCGTTATCTCTGTCGCTCGTATGCGATGCTGGTAAAATTTCTCTCTTTTTATTTGGGCCGGCCCGACATTGGCACAAGTTGATGACGTCAAGGTCAAGGCATGCTTTATATCTCGTCGCGTGTTCGGGTGCTTGCGGTGTTGTCACGTTGTCAGTGTTGTCACTTCATATAATTTATACCAAAAAAAAATGAAAAAGCAAAAAATAAAGTAAAACATTGAAGATTGAAAAAAATATTCTTTTTGAAGAAGACAAGGTAGTGCCATGGCACCGTGGCACTACCTCACGAGCCGCCACTGCCCACAACGCGTGACTGTCTGGTGTGGATTTTGGGCTGGAGGCATAATTGGGCCATATTTTTTTGAAAATGATGCTGGTCAAGCAGTGACTGTTACTGGTGCTCGATATCGCGACATGATTACACAGTTCTTTCTGCCAAAATTGAATGATATTGATGTACCCAATATGTGGTTTCAACAAGACGGTGCCACATGTCATACAGCCCGTGAAACAATTCAATTACTGCATGAGACATTTCCCGGTCGTGTACTCTCTCGTTTCGGTGATCAAAATTGGCCTCCTAGATCGTGTGATTTAACACCATTAGACTTCTTTTTATGGGGTTATTTGAAATCACAAGTCTATGTCAACAAGCCCACAACCACCCGTGCATTAAAGGAGGAGATTCAACGCTGCATCAACGAAATTCAGCCACATTTATGCAGAAGGGTCATGGAAAATTTCGACAAAAGAGTGCGCATGTGCATGCAAAGCCGTGGAGGCCATTTGTCCGATGTGTTATTCCATACATAACCCTATCCTATGTACTTTATGAGTCAATAAAACTATAACTATTAAAAGACTAAAAATGGCATTTTCTATTTAATTCAAATCTTGCGTTAATTTTGGGACACCCTTTACAAAACAGGGCCGCATTTAGAAATACGAAGCTATTTTTTTTAGAAAAAGCATCGAATGCAACGCATTTTTATTATAAGTGTACGATTCTTATTCAGGTATTTTAATGTTAAACTTCTTTGTACTATTCGCCATTATCAACAGTAAGATAAATTAATATAGGGAAAGTAGGCCTAATTTAAAGTTTTTTTTCCAAAAGTGATTATGAACAACCATTTTTGAGAAAGCAACTGATGCGCCTAAACATGGAAAATATTTGGAAATAAATGGTTTCTAATTAACATTTTAAATGCTAAGCCTCAAGACAATTTGGGTCCAAATATGGATATGGTAATAGGAATGGGTCAATACAAAGCTAGTAAAATTTTGTTAAATATATTACATGTATCACAACATTATAAGATAAATATATATCTACTAAAAATGTTTAAATTAACTTTGTATTTTTATGGGCAGCCTTTTTACTTGAACAATGGGTCAATAGCTCTCAAAAATTCTTCCTCAAATTTCCTTTTATTAAACCGATCTACTGAAGCTCGTGCTTTTTCCCGAATCTCATTTACTTCCTCTTCATCGAGATTTAAAATATACTTTATTATAAGAGCAAACTCTTCTCCCGTTTGTGCCAAGAAGCCTAACCTGGAAGTAAAATAATTACAGCTTTCACATTGATGTTTCTGCAGTGAAAGATAATTTTCATATTCAGATAATAACACTATGTTACAGCTCTTAAATACACTATCGAACCAGAATAATATCTTTCTCTCGAAGATATCAATAGTCAAATGGAAAATGTACAAGATATTCTTAAAGTTTCAAGTACAGTCTGACTTTCTAAGGTAATGTCGAATCCAAGTTTGTTACGCCCAATATAATAATTTCACTGAAACCCATCCACAAAAAAATGGCGGGTTGACTCTGCACTTGCCACGCAACACTGTCATCAGTTCATAAAATATTATACCTCTAAAAAAAAGGTAGGTAAAAACATGTATAACAGGGAGAATAAATGGATCACGTCAGTTGAACAGCCCCATACAATTAGTCTAGACATTTCCCCTGCCCTATCGGTAGTACCATCCGTCTGGCAACGTCGCTCATTCCCTATACTTCTCCGTACGGTACGGCAAAGGTAGCTTCTGATGGTAGCAGCGTTGCCGTACCTACCGATTTTTCGGTATTTCTACCGAAATGGGAACTTATTTACCGAAATACCGAAAACGTCCCCAATGTCCACGATTTTTTTAAATTATTCAGATGTTTACATATTTTTTACAATGCCAAGTGAGGAAGCTACAAGTTCAGGGGTAAAACAGAAAAATGTTCACAATCTTATAACCAAGAATGATGAAAGCAGTTTCCAAGGTGGTTGCAAAGGAGTTTGAAGAGCTCATTGATAAGTTGTAATAAAGAACTCAAACTTTTCCACAAAAATATACTTTTTTTACATAAACAGCGCTGCGTGACGTATACGCCCTTGAACCACCACTTATCTTGCGACGGCCCTGATGTTTTTCTCCTACCGATTCTGTCGTTGAATCTACCAAATTTCAACGCCACTATCTACTGTTTTGTCTTTTGCGATTCGGCAATACTGGACGGGAGAGACGATAAGATTCATCGGTGAGACTGTTACGCGGGCGAACAGAGAGTTTCAAGGACAAATCAACCGAGAAATTTGTGATAATAGGTGCCTAGACTTACCAGGGTTGGAAGCATATAAATATACTAAAGTCAAAAAATTGATTTAAAAAGTGAAAGAAATTGAATATCATAATGCCAAATTTAAACAGATAATATAAATAAGAATGTGTAAAAAACTAGAATATCTCATATAAGGTCTTTATTACTGTTTTATTGACGTAAGCAAAAATGATTATTCATTAGTATGCATATTTTACGATCAAATGCATTCGATGCATAAAGACAAAAAATTTAACAAATTCTTGTAAATGTGGGTGACACTTATATCTATTGAGTATTCTTGCCCAATTGATTGAACCTACATTTTATCCAAAAAGTTGAAATTTGATATAGTTATTGTAGAGTATTTTTTACACAATAGTTGACTAACTTAATCATCATCATTAGGAATCAAGTGAGGCTCTATTCGATGCGTTCTTATGGCCAGTTCTTAGCTTCATCATATCATCATTATCATATTAAATATCAGCCATATTGGATCAGTATGACGTCACTGCTTTTTATGTTTATTTCATCAACCCCTTTCATTTAATATACATACATATTATATGAAGATTATAAAACGATATTTTGCGGCGGCCGCCATATTGAATCTAGAATGACGTCACGTTGCTTATTGTATCTCTCTCATCAAGCCATTTCAGTCATATGGGGGTAATTATAGAAATTATAAACGCCATCTTGTGCGGCATTCGACATATTTGATGCCCATATCCTAAAGGTGACTTTGGAAATTGTAAATCGCCAAATTGCCGCCGCCGTCATATTGGATTTAGAATGACGTCAGTTTGATTTGAAGCCGGTGCACACGGACGGTGCGGCAACGCAACGTTAAAATACGCTCATCTCGGAAATACATTGCCGTAAATGGATCAATTCACACGTCCTGCGTCGACGTCCAACGTTCGACGGTAACGCACCGTTGAAAACCCGACGTGCAAGGCTCGTGTCAACTTCTCTCAAAAACACTGTTCGCATCGACGCAACGTCGACGTTGCGTTACCGCACCGTCAAAATACGTCCGTGTGCACCGGGTATATTGTGTTTCTCTCATCAAGCTGTTTCATATGATACCCATATCATATTCTATAAAAACGATAAATCGCTATTGTGTAGCATACGTCACATTAGATTCAAAATGGCGGCAGGTAATTAATTATGTATTGTCACACGAACCAGACAGCCATACAAAATTTCTGCTCGATTGATTAAGGTAAACTGGTTCAAAATTCCGTATCAGTATTTGTCCCACACATGCATAGTACTAACGAATTACCATTCTAACAGTTACTTATGCAAGGCTTTTAAAAAGTGACACTGTCAATGCAATTTATACTGAATTTCCAACTCATATTAAGCCAGGAGAAAACGGTTCAGTATAAATTCGTATTCGTCTCTCCAAAAATATTCCAAATTGCCAAACTATCTAAGTAACATTTTATTAATTATCTAAATTCTAAACTTGGCGTTCATAAACGACGAATTATTTTGGTTACCTTTTTCGAATTTGAAATCTCTAGTGCATATATACAGAGTGCTTTTAGCAAAGCTGAATTAAAATTCAACGTAGTAATCATAGTCACTTCTCATGTAATACATATTGGCTCAGCTTGGGGAGAACCCTGTGCACGAACAACTTAGTCATAGTTAATTTAAAAAAAAATCTCTTCAAAAATTTCGTGTGGATTGAGATAACGAGGACAGCTCCTTCGAAAACGTTCATAAACTAAAATATGTACAGCGAGACCGAAAATAGTCAGAAAAAGTGAAAAAAGTTAAGTCGCCAGCATCCCTGCCTCCCCTACCGCTTATAACACAATTTTTGTTTTTTCTATTTTTTCCACTAGTTCCGCTGCCACTGCATCAGTTTTCAAAAACTACAAAGCTTTTTGGTCGCTGGCAAAGTAGACCACCTTGCTTGAATTTAATTTCACCCAATATCCGACCGGCAGGGATATTACGCAACTTGTAAAGTGTGTCATATAACATCCAAAATCTCATTTTTCGCGACTGCAATATTTCCTTTTGAATAAAAGTGGCGCAGTTTCCTTGTTTAACACTGCCTTCGTGTCTCGTGCTATTATCTGTCTATGAAAAATGTTCATTCATTTTGTTGACCTTTCCTATGCTGCTATAGTAAATGTTAAAAAAAAAACACGAGAAAACTGGCGGTTTGTATCATGTAAAACTATAATATGTGTCAGTGTTGACAGTTAACACTAGCACGAGTTCCTTCAGGTCGTCAGATATTCATTCAGAGTGCATAACTAGTCGAAAGTACGAACCAAAAGAAATGAATATATACACTGGTTTTGTCAAAAGAAGATGTACACCCTTGTAACAATAGTTTTACAAAAAAAAAAACGCCAATAGGTATGATGATAGCTAAACATAATAATTGACGATTTCAATGCCCACTCGTGTATTGGGTTATTTTCTACAATGACAATTGCATTATTATATTATATAAAAAACGCATTTGAGGTTGCTTCACCTAAGGAATCAGCCATTAGGATTCTATTTTTACTTCAATCACACTTTATGCCAAACTGTTAACGTCAGAGAGCAAATAAGGTTATTTTTCTCATCTCTTGCTGAAGAAGTATACGCTATTTCACGAGTATCCATCACGGTAGAATGACAGCTGATTATCTAGTAATATTTCAAAATTGCCCGTATCGGCACAGGACACATAATTCCGTCAACATCACGTAGTCAGAGCCTATTTTATTTTGTTTTTTTGTACGCTTCAGATTCATTTGCATACAAAAAACAACACGCTACCAACAACTTTTACTAGATTTACACCCGATTCATTATTGCCAACTTCGCAGACTAACACAAAAATGTCACTTGCTGATCAGCTATTCACCTCACTTTAGTGCGGAATTTTATATTTAAACGATAGAGGTGTTTTGCTACTTCTAGTTTCTCATCCTTGGGAATGGTAAACACACTCAGAATAATATACCTTTAACTTGGAAAGTACCGCTCGGTTTTAAAGAAATTTTCACAGGAAATTACTATGCCAAGGACGAAAAAGCTTTGTAGTTTTTGTGAAGTGCAAAAAACATAAACTACTCAAACTTCCAACCCCTGTAATTTTACGCACCTATTAGTGCATAGATTTCCCCGTACATTTGCTCTTAGAAAAATATTTACAGGCGCGACGCCCGGTCGGTCGGTAGATGACAACTTTCATGCGTCTCACTGCATCGCCAGCGTTCTCTCTTATGGTCGATATTTAGTACAGGGTAGGAACTACCGTTAGCGATATTAAATGGGTGGGAATTATCCAGTATAAACTAATTTTATCGGCTTGTTTGGCTGACTTGATCCATTTAATTTTTTGTTATACATGTTTGTAGCTAGGTCAGATGGAATAGCTTGTGCCGAACGCAATCTTTCAAGAACTGACAACAGCATTGCATGACTTGACGCCATTTTTTAAGTTTTTGAAATTCCCAATTTTAATGAAAGGTTTCCCATAAGGACGAGGGAATATTGAAATGGAATAAAACAAAATGTGTGTAAGCTAGTATAAACAAATTTTGTTGCATTTGAACAGCATGTGTAACAGAATATGTACAGTTGCGCCTTCACAAAATGGCATGGACTCTACTGCATACATTCAGCAGATTTTACGAAGATTCCGGCTTTATTATTGCAAATTTATTTTAACAAAAATACAATACTGACCTTGACCCTTCAGAAGTTTCTATAATATCCAAAAGAGGTCCACCTGATCTATGCGCTACCACAATCAACCCTGCTGCCATTTGCTCAACCACACTAATCCCAAAATGTTCATCCAGCATTGTATGGATTCCAATGTATGCTTTCCTGAATTCTTCCAACAGCTCCTCATATGTCAAATTAACTTTGAACTCTACATTATTCTCAAGACTCAGATGCATGCTGAAATCTTTGAGGTCTTTGACTCTCTTTGCATCATCGCTATTACGACAACTCCCGCATAACACAAGGGTGACATTGTGGAACACCTCTTCTGGAACTATTTCTCTGAGTTCATACATTGCTTGTAGCTGCAATGGATGGTCTTTTTCTGGTCTGAATTGTGCTAATGACATGATTCTGATTTTCTCAGGCCTCTCTATAGGCCTCACAATTTTTTTGAGATGATCAGTCTCGCAGGGAGGGTAAACTAAATGTAGAGGTCTGTTCCAGAGTAACGACAGATGCTCTGATGTGAATGTCGAGTTTACTAGGGAGATATCACAACACTGACCAGCAGCTGAGTAGCACTAAAAACAAGAGATCATGATTAAATCTGTATGAGGTGGCAATATTTTGAAGTAAGAATGGTCAACCAGACAATGACTACATTTTCAAATACAACTAATTATTCAAGGCATTGATTGTTACCGACTAATATTTTACAATCTAGCTCATGAAATATTCCATGACCACTAATTAACATTTTCAAAGGAAAAATCGCCACACAACCTCCTTTGTAACTACTGCTAAGATTTCATATTTCCAGAATTTGAAGATGGTGGCTGACAGGTTTACAAGCATACAATTTTTTTCAATTAAAAATGGCGTCAAGTGGACTGACTCTATCCTTCCCACGCGATCGATACAACTTCTAGTACAATTTCCTATGTAGTGGTCTATTTGAGCTTTTCATGAAAGAGCATTTTCCTGAGATTGAAGCAATGAGCGTGTCCGTACACGGTAGCCTTATATCTCTGGGACTCCACCCCTGAGCCTCTTACAGTAAAGCTGCATTCCATTCGTAATATGATATTTTGCTAATACAATACTACTATTATCACTTGTTTTACTGTTAACAACATTGATCAAATAAGCATCTGACACAGGGTCAGCAGCAATCAACCATTGTAAAGTTTTATGTCACGATGGTACATATGCTTATTTTGGTGCAGGCATGGTTTTCAAGAGCTTTCTGTATCTTCTCATGAAATTACTTAATCAATGCCATGAGACAACAAAATTAACACCTATACTCACACATGCAAATATATTGTAGTAGAACAGTTTGATCATCGTCAAAATTGGACTTCTAGCTATTATACTTCGATTATTATAGAGCGAGTGCCGATTAGACACTCTTTTCAACATTTCATTGGTTATAGTTGGATAATGGATATAAGAGCCAGTCTTGCATCCACCAAGATACTTAAATATTGGTAATGTAAATGTATATCCTGTTGTGTCAATAAAAATATCTACAAATAAAAGACATATAATCATGGTTCATTACAAGACATGTAAGTGATGTACCTGGGAGCAGTTGTGTGAGGGCTTCATATCCTAAATACATTGATCCCATAGCCTGGCAGGCAAGAGTAAATGCAAAATATCTTTCGCCTTCCACCCATTTACGTCTGTGCAAATAAACAAACTTTATATTTTTTCCTACATCTACATTTAAACGCTGTGAAACCTTGTCTAAAATCTCCTGTGGAGTGACTTCGACATCACCAGTATAAACAAAGAATTCAGCATTGGGGTACCTAAGAACAAGTATAAAAATTATTTTTTGTTAGTTCTAGTTAATTCACTGGGATATGTTAGAGTAAAAATTTGCATTGTTTATGCCAGTAACTGTTTACTCATAATATGTTAATAGTATTCATTAGATTTAAGTGCCTGAAAATATAGTAGTATTCGACTCCATTTTTATTTTTGTTTTTTTAGACTTACTTATCTTGTAGTGCTTTAATGGCAACCCAGAGAACTTTTTCACCACCCCCTCCAGCATTACAATAGGGATGAAATAATCCCACTTTCAGCTTTGTAGATGGATTTTTCTCTCTTTCTATTTTAAATTTTCTTCTCAAATAGATTATATATACTGGTAAAAATAGCCCACAGGACAAAACTAGGAATATGACTAATGCAAGAAGTAATTTAATAGATAATAATGCACAAGATAGTACTGTATTCCTGAAAAAAATAAGCATCATAGAAGGAATAATATGAAACATCTTTATGAATGAGTTGAACCACTGAACTGCATTTCTAAACCAATGCTAGAGGCATAAAACCAGTGTCCTATCCTGTAGAAGCATACTGATGTAAGTATAACATAGGCAAACATCACACAATCAGTATTTACTGTGATCCCCCAGTATTTATCAGTGACCATATAGCCAGGATGTCTTGTATTGCTGATGTAGGTATAAGGTTACACAGAAATTCACTGACACTGACAGAATGATAGGTAATTTCTGATGGTATGGACCTCAGTAATCATCGAGTGACATTTGCCATAAAAGTATTGGGGGCCCAGTAACAATAACATGGCCACGCAACTCTTGTGGTTGTATGAGGCGTCTTTACTCGGGCCAGAGTTGGTCTACTGTCACAGTAATAATTCAAAATCTGTCTCAATATATACATTAGGCCAATAGTTTCTTCAATTTGTCACAAATCTCGAGAGTCTCCAGGTGATCTCACTTGATTTTTGAAAGAGCTTTCATATTAAAGTATTCCTATATCCAGAAATAGATTACTTACAATGCTTGGAGAAAAACTTTCATTTTCTAAAGAATACTTAGATTCAATTTTAGAGTAATTCATTACAACACCTAGGCTGTGTAGTATCCTGTATTTTTAATTTTTCTGAAGTACACGTTTGTTGTTCACAGATGAGACATGACATTTGGTTATTGGTTGTAAATAGGTATATTCTTTAATTCACCGGTTGATTCCATCACTGATGGATCCGGTGAACTTATGGTTGACAGCTGACGTGGTGACGTCAGCAACTGGTTCCCTTGAACATACAAGACGCATTTTTAGCCTTCAGATTGCTGTCGTATGAGAAAACCTAACCTTTGTTTTATCGTGAATGGACGCTTATTAGTTTGAACTCCCTATCATTTAAAATCATTATGGCAATTTACGCAGCAGTTGGTATTGTGGTGGAACGTCTGTTAAGCGAGTCGAGTGATGATTCGGATGAAGAACTTATCCAGAGGAGAGAAAGAGCAACTCATACCAAAATTGAACAGTATGCAGATACAGTAGTCAATAGTTTGAGTGACTTTAAATCACATTTTCGGCTCACAAGGATCCAAGTTGAGGTAAGTGTTAGCCTTTATCTTTAATACTCGATCTATTTTAACAAATCGAGAACTTAACTCTGTCATTCGTTTATTTTCAGGATTTATGCTCAGAATTGGAAACCAAAAAGGAGATTCACACTGTTGGGAGGCCAGCTAGTAAGCTGTTACCCTGTGTTCTATTAAGCATTTGGACTTTGGCTAATCAAGAAGTATCGCCGATAGATTTGGAGTGAGTCCTGGGAATGCTCACGCCATTTTTATTAGAACGTGAAAATTAATATGTCTTCTCCAAGATAAATATATCAAGTGGCCAACAGGTGCAGACATAGTTAAAACTGTGGAGGATTTCAATACTTTGCGTGGCCAAAATTCTTTTCCCAATGTTATTTGCAACAGTAAAAAAGAATTTATAGATGTATTTTGTGGATGGCCAGGCTCATCACATGATGCCAGGATGTGGTCAAATTCACCAATCCATCATAGAATTGAAAATGATGGTTTGATTCCTGATGAATACCATCTGCTTGGTGATTCAGCATACCCGCTCAAAAACTATTTGTTGGTGCCATTCAAAGATAATGGTCATTTAAGCAATGCGCAAAAAAGATTCAATAAAAGATTATCTAGTACAAGAGTCGTTGTGGAAAATGCAATTTGTCTACTTAAAGGAGTTTTTCGTAAACTTAAATATATAGATTTGATAAATATAGCAAATTTCAAATATATAGTTGTTGCAGCTTGTATACTTCATAATTTTCGTTTAAAATATGATAATGAAATGGAGCTAGATAATAGTGATGGCTATGATGGCTGTGATGAAAATTTTGAAGGGAGAGTTTGTGATTTTGCCAGAAATAAAAGAGAGCACATCATGCTTCAAATGACATAGATTTCTGTATGATTACCCTCAGATAAATGTTGATACATTATTCGTATTTATACTTATACATTTTGTATAATAATTACTTATTTTTGTAAAATGCACATTTGTTTTTGGAACTCTTTTTGATGTCATATATATTGAAATAAAATATTCAACACACATAAGTATTTAATATACAGGGTGACTTTGAAGTTGAGTCATTAATTTTCAGATAATGATTGTAGAAGGAAGATAAACCAAAATATGTGTGTAAAAATAAAAAAAAAATTTACCTTGTTTTATAAAGTATCCTCCCAACAAGTATTTCAGTGCGGACCTGTATTTGATCGTGAGGTCTTGGAGCACCGGCATGCCCTCCCCTGTGAGGACTTAAGTCACCTGATTCACGAGCCCGTTGTACTACATTAACAAAGGCACGAGGGGTTGGTTGTACTCGATTGGGAAACCGATCCGCATAAACATGTGCCATTCTTTATTTCGTTTGAGCCACGCAGCAAACACCACTATTCACTCACGCGTTACCGACTGACACATTGACTGAATAAAAACATCGTGATCAGCGTTTCAAATTCTTTCACTTTTTTGTTTCCGATGCGATGAACCGATAAGGCGGATTATATCCGTTGTTTCCAAACACGAGCACATAATATTATTATTGAGACAGGGCGGTACTCAAACTTCTAAAGGGCTATAACTTTGTTACTTTGATTTTACCACAAAAATGTTAAAGGAAAAAAACATTTCTTTTGATCAGATCTACTCACTGTTAAAATAAATGACTCAACTTCGACTTCAACTGTATACCTGAAGGAATATCTTTACTACAAATTCAATGCAATTTTTTTTAAGGATTTTGCAGATTACCCAGTATTTATATTGTGTGATCTGGTTGTACACCAAACTTGTCTATATAGCTGTTGTATACCAAACTTGTCTATATAGTTTATAGACAAGTTTGGTGTACAACCGGTCGCTCAGACGGAAATTTTGGTTGCACCGGTAGCTCAACCGGTGAATTACAAAATACGCCTCTATCCACCACCAATATAAAGACAAGGTTGATGTACAACCGGTCGTTCCAGCGAAAATTAAAGGACGCAAAATTGGCTAACCGGTTGCACCGGTAGCTCAACCGGTGAGTTAAAGAATATAGAAACACCCATCAAAATCAAAACTATACACCAGTACACCACATATAAATAATATAGGCTGGTATAGATTTAGAACAGAACGATTAGAAGTCACACGTCAGAGACGTCACATTGATGTCACCCTGCGAAGTCAAATGGAAAACCACAGATGTATGAGATTGAACATTTGCGCCGATTTACCATGAGTCACTTTGGTTCGCTATTTTCATTCCTGCAACTAACTACTACTGTTCCGTGTCCCTTGAATATTTACCATAATATAGTCTGGACGAATTTGCGAAGACCTTGAACCACCTTTAGCACGCCACTGTTTTTTTGCAGCATTTTCCTTGAAGCATGACGCATGCGTTGTGTATAGAAAATCCCGTAAATCTCCAATCCACGGTATTGTGAGAAACGAGATGGGAAATCCCAAAATGCTACAGAGAAGATAAAGACAACCTACCAGGGGTTTGTTGTCCGCAACTTCCTTATCAACTGTCTGTCAAAGAACAATATGGCAGTCAAAAAGCAATATTATCACCTTAGTTTTTCGCGATTTTAACACGTGTGTGATTGCATTTTTCCCATTGTCTCTACATAACTGAATGTAATGAACGGAATGCTGCCGTCTTTCACACCACCCGTCGTCAAACGCTTGCTGGGATGGAAGAAAGGCTCTGGTTCAGACGCCGACGATAAATGGTCCGAGAAGGCCGTGAAAAGCTTAGTGAAGAAACTGAAGAAGTCGGGTGCTTTGGAGGAGCTTGAAAGAGCGATTTCATCGCAAAATCACAACACCAAGTGCGTGACCATACCGAGGTAAGCAGTTGTTTTGTATCTACCAGGTAATAATGAAGTTTAAGGTCAAATTATGGATTGTTGTTCCCCTCTTACCCCGCCGTGTCGGTCTATCTATCTGTCTGGTGACCGACCTACCCTACATGTCTGCTGAATGTCCTGCTCTGGGCCTCATGGGATTCTGCGAAAATTAACGATCTTCATGCAGACTCTAATTTGCATTAATTTTTTATCGTCGTCTTCCCAAAATATACTGTTTGTCTATATCTGGTGTATATTTAGGCATGATCGCGCGATCTTTTATGCATTAAGGCTTTGAATTTGGCCATTGTTCCATCCATCCACCTATAAATTATTGAATTTAAGTGGAAAACTCGGAGGTTTATACAATTATCAATTAAATTTATTCTAACCAGAACAAAACGCTTGAAATTGTGAAAAGTGGTCAAAGCTTTATGATATTTTTCTTCATAACAGGCAGTGTATAGTCAGGTAGATATTTATAAAAAGTGTACAATGAGTGCATTCATTTAAGATAACTGCAATATCCCCAAGATTTAGATTCTGATACAATGATAAAAGATATTGTTTAACACATCAAGTGCAAACTGCTGTCAAAGCTATTCCATAACTACCTCTATATAACATAAAAGTACAGACCACTTTACAATTAGCTAAATACACTATTATCATTTTTGATATCTTCCTATAAGCAAGTAGTGCCAGTTCATCTGCTTTCATTTGACCAATCAGAAAGGATATAGCTGACCAATAGCACCACATTTTTCCAGGCTATGATCCTTTTCATGAGTATCCATGATTACCTTGTTTCCTACTTGAAATTAGTCACAATCATTTGCATCCATATTGTTTGTGGCATTTTTTCTCATGTGAAAAGGAACTTTTCTAAATAAATGCATTGTTACAAAGTATGAATCCTTGGTGTACAAAACATCACAACAAAATTTGACTGCCTACAGATCTCATATTGAGAGATCTGTCAGAACTGTGTATTACTTGTCAGTATGGGGTATAACCAGCTGATATTTGCTCTCACATTTTAGATAATGGTTATACATGAAAAATACAATGTAATCTGTCAAGGGTTATTAACAAATATTTCTTACAGTTTTATTACTTTTCTGCAAAGTAGACTTCTTTGTCTTATCCATTGTTAGAACTTAAGTGATGCTGTGCTATCAGAATTGGTAAACTGGATAGAGAAACTTTACCTTGTTAGCTTACATATCAACTTCCCAAAAAATACTCTTTGACATATGAGAATGGTTGTGAAATTCATCTAGATCTAAAGGTGGTTTTCATTTGGATTTGACCCTGTTTTGTATATGCAGACTCTAAAGGTGTAGCTGGCATTTCCGCTGTATGAGGTATTGGCATATTAAAAGCTATTCCTGAACCAAAGATTTTAAATATAATCACAAATTGGTTCATGGTAGAGGCCAATAAAGCAATGTAATGATAAAAAAGCTTCGTATGTTCAACACGATTAGCAAACCAATAAGTCATAGAGCCAAGTGAAAACTGCAGTCAAATTGTTAGATTTTGCATGCCTACTGCTATCGAGCATGCATATGCTGCAGTGTTGGCCTGTTGTAAGCTACCTGAATGCACTCAATAACAGCACATATAGCGGTAAGCAAAGACAACTAATTAAATTCAACTTCAATTGTAAATAAATCTTTATGAATTAGGTTCCAGTGAAATGTAAAGTTTTAAGGTATGTTGAGTTCAAATATGTACATAAAATGTAAATATGTACTATTGTAGAAATAGTGCCTTTAATTTTATATGGACCAGAAAACTTCCTATGTAAATCAATAAATTATTAATACCATTATCTTTCTACCAGGGTACGTCCCAGTGCAGAGCTTGGCAATATTCAACAGCAGCGTAAGGGATTGCCTCATGTTATCTACTGCAGGTTATGGAGATGGCCTGAACTCCAATCTCATCATGAACTAAGGCCACTGGACCACTGTGAGTATGCATACTCATTGAAGAAGGAGGAGGTCTGTGTAAATCCATACCATTACACCAGGATCGAGAGTCCAGGTTGGTCTTCTTTTTCATAATTTACAATTTCAAGTATGAAACTGGACAGCATGAATATGTAATTAGAAATCCAGAAGCTCACCTGAGACAACACTAGACAGGACTATACAGAGTGATTCATTGAACAATGGCAATATTTGTAGGGTAGAAAGTAGATCCAAAAGCAACATGATATGTTTCTATAATCATGGAACCTACCCCTTACCAAGATGAAGTTGAAGTTATAATTTTAAAATGATGAAAAAAATTGTATGAAGGTATTGTCTAAAAATGACACCTATAGAAAAGTATTTTTCACACCACTAACTTTTCTGAAACACCTATTGCATTTTTAGATAACTTATTTTAATTTAGCAAAGACTATATCTTTTGAGAAATTATTGTCACACCATTCCATTTGGAAAACAGGTGGTTTGAAAATGTGAGTTGACATCCATGTAAAAGACTTTAATTCTACTTTGAAAATTTCCTGAAGTTAGTGAAGATTGGCATTAAAAATTGTATGTATTTTATTGGGAGAGTAAGTCCAGCTGACCACAGCATTATTTGAAAACTGTTGTCTTCAAAAGGGTAACACCACTGGGATGACCTAAAACAAGAATTTTTTTTTGTAGAAGTGGTGATAAAATAATAATATTGGAGGCATTTATTCAGAATATGGAGTAACAAAAAAGGATATTATCATGGAAAATATCCATAAACGGCCACTGGTATTTCAACTCGCATAATCTAATATTTTATAATATCTTTGAAATTACGTTTTGGGGATTTCCAATGAGTTAATTCAATCACAAAACAAAAATCATTATTTTTAAAATCCCCTACGCATTTTTTAGCTATAAACATGAACAATAAGTTTTTTCTTTTTTTACATATTCTACAAATTTGAAGCAGCTATGCTATATGTCAAATTCTATATGCTTTGAGAAAATGGCTGTGGTGCTGACATCTTTGAGTATTCAACTTCCTCCAACCCTATCATTTTATTACTTTTTCTTCCTCAAAAAAAAAAACATTACAAAAAAATTACTTTTTTAAGCTCTTATCGAGTTTCTTCCATAGTATAGAAATTTTCAACACCCTGTATTTGGGTAATGAGGCGTTTTAGGACCTATAGTTATAGGAACTTCTTGTTATTTTTTTATGTATTTTCTGCTCCAGAAATATGGCTATGGTTTTTTGAATCACCCTGTATATGATTGTTATAGAGAAGTCATCAAAACTGATGGGACTTTCACATCAATATTTACTGTGGTATATGCCATCAATATTTACTGATCATTCTGTCAGTATCAGTGGATGTCTACATAACTTTATACATCAATGATAACTGTCATACTTGCTTCATTAGAGATTTTTTCACGAGATCCCGTAGTGAACCGAAGCGGGAACAGATGGAATTTCCCCTTCCTCTCGAAGTTTTGACAGTTTCAAGTTACACCGGGAGTGGTTAGATGGCGCATGTTGCCCAAAATGTTTGCTTTGAGCTCCTTGATAAACTTAGCTGCCTTGTTTGAATCTGAAATAAAAAGACCGATCGTTTTTTGTGCATTGTACATATATATCAATAAAATCAATCATTTGAAATGCCAAGTGCGGTTCATATATCTTCGATTACCTTCTCCCTCGTCATTTAAAATCGGGTGGACGTGTTCCTCCATTTATAATTTGATAATTTAACTCAATTTTCGGCACTGCGAAGACAAATTTTCAATTGAGATGCCTATTTTTTAAATGACATTGACATAAGACCTGTCACCTGCTAGTACCTCATAGACGTTAGGCGGGTACCCGTACCACGTCTTCCCCTATTCCCGTTCTTCACGAAAATTTGAGTATCGGTTCCCGGTAGTGCACTGTGCTACACCTGTGGACTCGCGAAAAAATCCTTATTGTCAATAAATACACATCACTTTGACAGATGACAGACAGACAAAACTCTTAAAAGCGCAATAGGATCTAACATCTGATCACAGATAATTGAGCAATAGATTGGCTGAAAAGAAGGAAATCCATGCTAATAACATATATCATATACAATTTTTTCTTGAGAAATCTAAATAAGTTCCAGAAGTTGCATCTGATATTTAGTATTTTTCACTGCATTGTTCTTTATATTCTAATAAGATGCATCATCTTGCTCAAATTGTGCTGTGCACTGCCTCACTTGTACATTTGGGTTGTGGACCTTTAGGCATAAATAGAACAAATCAATACAGGCTTTGAATCATTTATTACAACTCATAGTGAAATTCATTGGTTTCTGTTCGCTGAGATGAATGTGTGAATATTTGTTAGGTGACTTAGAAAGACTGCTTCACTTTCTTCAATATATTATGGAACACATGGATTATAGAAGTAAGGGCCCACAGGTATAAGAATATGGAATATAAATAAATTTTAGGAATCTTGTTGTAGCTGTAGTGCATTTTTGCAGTCAGTAGATTTAAATATTGCGTAAAATAAAAGAGTGTAATGAAATTTGTAGTATTTTGAATCATTTTGGTATTCTCGGATATTTAAATATTTTGTTAGATTTTGAGTTACATATGAACATTGGCAAATATTTTATTGTTCCAGCATTACCTGCAATTTTAGTACCTCGCCATACACTCAGTGATGAAAATAATTTATTTCCCCATTCTTTGGAAGATTTGAGTACCTCAGTACCAGAAAATACATCTTTTCCACACAGCACCAACACCTTAGGGTGAGTACTTGCATCAGCCATTCAGCATTTGTCCATAGTCAATCTTATATCAAGTGCATTATACCTATCTTTGGTTTTGTATCTATGTGCATTAAAACATATTTCCTCCACCACTTTCTTTGAAATTCAGAAGTAATCTAAAATTGATTAGCCTTTTTTGTAATTACCCCAAAAATGATCAAATAACTTTTCATTTTTTTCATCTGCTCGACTAATGGACGTCTCTTAGTTTTCTACTGGCATACAATTGGGTATTTACAAACTGGTACTCTTGATTCATACAGGTAATTCGACTGTTAATTTTTTAGATGTAGCTGGACGTATATGGCGTTACTTAAGTTGGCGGTCATGTCTCTTTCTAAGAGATTTACTTTTCTAGGTTACACCTCACTCATCCTGCAACAGGTTATATGGATACAGTAGGTATCTGCCCGAACGGAACTCCAACAAATATGGAATCGCCCCACAGTGCTGTGCCCCCAACTGAAACCCCTCCTCCTGGTTACATGTCAGAAGATGGAGACCCAATTGACCCAAACGATAATATGAGTGAGTATTCATTTTCTCCATAGTGGGCTTAGATAATTTACCAAAAGATTTGCCTTAAAAAGTCTATTTGGATGACGAGGGGGCAAACACGTCGCGTAACAGTGACGTTTTAACATGGCGCATGGCGACATTTTATAATTTATATATTTATGTTATACATTATTCCAAAGCTCTTTGTGAGTTCTTTATAACCATAGAATATAAAGATATCTAGCCTTTAAGCATCACAGCGGACTGGCGAGGCATCTAAACTAGTTACTTAATGTTGTTCCTCATGCATTGATAACTTCATTTGCAGATGACACCTCATTTGTAGCTTCAGATTTATTCAGAGAAACAATTACAAGATAATATAGATGTTTCATTGTCTAGGCTGCATAACTGGTTTTCAAATAATAATTTATATTTAAATCTAAACAAGACACAATGTATTAGATTACATACGAGGCAAAAAAATGCATCAAACTCAGTTTGAAATTAAATATTAATATCAACAATGTGAAGTATATAAAATTCCTTGGTGTGTATTTGGATTCCTGTATGGAGTGGAAGCAGCACTATGACTATGTAATAATGTGGCTCAATTCATCTATTATTAAATTTAAGAGATATTCTACCATTAAATCAGTTAATCAGCTTGTACCATGCACAGGTTGACTCTGTCAAAATATATGACATATCATTTTGGGGGTTCTCTACTAATTCAAAAGATGTGTTCATGAAACAGAAAAGAATTCTCAGATGTATAGCAGGTGTTAGTGATAGAATATCATGTAGAGATCTGTTTAAGAGATTCAGATTATTGACACTTACTGGTTTATATATATTTGAAAACTTGTTTATACATATTTAAAAATAGAGACAAATTCCCAACACACGGCCAAATGCATTCAACTAATACGAGGATTAGTGAAGACTTTTATATACCACCCTATAGAACTCAAATTATGTGTAAGTTCCCAAATATTAATGGCCTAAAAATGTTTAACCTACTTCCTTTGGAAATAAATAATTGCCATAGTCTAAAAAAGATTAAGAATCTCTTATCTATTTATATATATATATATATATATATATATATATTTAATTGAAAATAGGTTTAATAGTGTGGAATAATATTGTGATATATGCTGTTAAATCTTGTTTTTTACTGTTTGACTGTTTTTTGTTAGATATAGTTTTTTTAAGATTTCAAAATATATGAAAATTCCTATACAATGTTTTTTATCGAGAGGAAATAAATAAAATATAAATATAAACTTTTTCTTCATTGATTCGCATATAACTGAACATCTCATGGTCTTTTGAAAGGGTTTGTTCAAATATGCAATAAAATGAGACATTTTGTTTAATATATGTCATATTTGAATTCTTTTTTAAATGGAATATGTTTTATTGCATCCTCAGATAGTCCTCCCCAATAGATTCATGTAACATTTATATTATTTTGATGACTATTTTTTTAGTTCTGAGCGAGTTAAAGTAGAGAAATTCTCAACATTGACCACTCTCCAGTCCGCCAATTTAAAACACTGGGAATTTCAGTGGAATAAGAAGCTAAATAAAAGACAAGTACTAAGTCTTACTTTGTTGTGTCAAATGCAATGGATTGACCATATTGATAACACCCTTGACAGTTATGATACAAACGACACCTTACACATTTGAAGTTAGCTGCATTTTTCGGAGAGGATTTACGTTTGATAATCCATAAAATGTTCATTACGACATAAACTCTGTGATATAAGGATAATCCAATTCAGTATTAATTCAAACCCTTTACGAGATAATCGTGATCAATCTTTTACCAACTGATGACAGCATTGCATGGCAAGTGCAGAGTCAACCTACTAGACGCCAATTTTTTATAGTTCCAAGATTAGATTCTAGTAGTACGAGGTCTGTAAATTAATTGATGAGACTGATTTTTTTTTATTTATTTTTTATTCATTTTTATTCAGATATAATTTTAATTTTCAATTGTCACCCACAAAATAACTTCCTTCTGAAACCTCTCAGCGCTGGAGACGGTACTAAGGGCCGTATCGTGACTCGTTCCTACAATTGTAGGACGCCTTTATGGCCTCCTTTATTTGCATTTCATAGTCTTTGCTCTCCTTTAGAAAGTCTGGGGTATTTCGAGATTTATACTGTTCCGTGTCAGCGTCAGCGCTCTCCTATTGTGAGGCTATGTTTTCTTTTTTAATTGTATTGATATGTAATCAAAAGCATGAAAAATTTGATGCAAATAGATATTTGTAACATAACCTCAAAGTAGAGCCCTGACACGGAACAGAAAACTATGAAAATGAAGGAGGCCATAAAGGCGTCATACAATTGTGGTAATGACTGAAGATATGGCTCTCAGGGCTTTATGGCCTCCTTGATTTTCGAAGCCTTTTCTCTCCTTCAGACAGGCTGGGGTATTTCTAGATTTCTACTGTTCCGTGTTAGCGTCGGCGCTCTCCTATTTTGAGGATGTTTTTTTGAATTGTGTTAAATTTCAGGTTGATATAACAGATGAAATAAATCAAAAGCATGAACAAATTCATGCAAATTGATATTTGTAACATAACCTCAAAATAGAGGGCTGACACGGAACAGTAGAAAACTATGAAGATCAATGAGGCCACAAAGCCGTACAATTGCAGGAACGACTGACGGTACGGCCCTTACACTCCTCTTAACAGTACTGGAATACCGATAATAGCCCTCAGCTGATCGGTCACAGCCGTTTGAATGTTTTCGACTATACCAGAGGTGATCTTTTAGCTTCGGGAAAGAGAAAGAAGTCACAAAGGCTCAAGTCATGCGAATACGGAGGCTGAGGTACCAAGGGAACGTTTTTACTGGACAAAAACTCGTTGATTGACATTGCTGTGTGACAAGGAGCATTCTCGTGAGGCAGCACCCAGTTGTTCATGATCTGATGAATGGGGGTGTGAGTCCAACTTAACTCTTCCCCGATCATTCTGTCAACCGATGATCTGAACGCACAAGATCCCGGATTTTGTCGATATTTTCATCGGTTCTTGCAGATGGAAGGCCTCCTGCTTCGACGCTCTCTCTTTTGAAAATGCCTTAAATCACCGAAATACCTGTGCTTTTGAAAAAGACTATCTCCGTAGGCCTGTTTATCAAGAGTATCCATTGCACAGTGCCCAACCCTTAAGCACAACTTGATAACGCACTGTTGCTTGGAATTGATGTAACTAATTTTTAGAACACAATAGGAAACTCTTTAAAAAAAATACGCTACGGACAACCAAATGACTTTAGCGAGTTCAAACTTGTACTAAAGGCTGATCACATGTTCCCCTGTCTCTCCTACAAGCACGGCGCCTCCAGTGTTGCTAAATCGAACGCTACGTTGCCAGTCTCATCACTTAATTTACGGACCTCGTACAACTGTTTTGTGGTAATCAAGTGGAACGTGTATACTCACAGGTTTGTCAAGGATAACCCCAAGTCCACCTGTAGACGCTCAGCCAGTACTCTACTGTGAACCAGCATTCTGGTGCAGTATTAGCTACTACGAGCTGAACACCAGGGTTGGAGAGACCTTTCACGCCAGCCAACCTTCAATTACCGTTGACGGATTTACGGATCCTAGCAACTCGGAAAGGTATTAAATTTTATCAGCAAGATAATCCAGTAGAGGCTAACACACACTGGGGAGATAGCATCGAGAAGCAGCATGACTTTTGGTCCAAGAGAGAAAAATTTCCTGTGTAGTTTCGAAGAGCACGACGAGAATGTTGAGATAGGAGGCATTTGCCATACGTACGTGCTCAAGGTCGAAATACTCTCGTTCATTGCTCTGCTGTGCCCTCCACCAGTGTTGCTTAGTCTAAATAAGATGCCTTTGCACTTTTTTATACGAGTTTGTAAATTGTTTCCTTTTCCACTTATGGAATTCATATATTTTTGACACAGTAAAATACTTTAAAGCCCTTCATAATTGCTTTATTTGCGTAACTTGTAAGTAGATTTTCATTAACGTATGAAGAAGAGTAACGTCATTATTTTTCTCAGCAAAGTTTGGCCATAGGTAATTCGCAGTTAACCCATATTCACACTCAACAAGTCTTTACTCCTTTTTTGTTTCGACCTAAGTGTAGGTGTGTGTATGAATTCAATTTTTTTCAGGTTTTGCCTGGGACTGTTGTCAAATGTAAACCGTAACACAGTTGTTGAACAAACGAGGAGGCATATTGGGAAGGGAGTAAGACTGTATTATATAGGTAAGACATACCTGAAATACTAGAGTTTGATTCTGAAAACTGAAAATCTTTTTTTTTTTAGGTGGAGAGGTGTTTGCAGAATGCCTTAGCGACTCGAGCATTTTTGTGCAATCACCTAACTGCAACCAGAGGTATGGCTGGCACCCAGCCACCGTTTGCAAAATACCACCAGGTAGGTGATTGTTTATTTATTTTGCGTTATCAATATTACTATCTAAGAGTCCTGATAACTTGCACTACCCATCAACAAGCCAGTGGTCCTAAATGTCTCGGAGGTCTGTGTCGCTAGTTATGGCCGTTGGACTAGAGCATTGCTATTACACTTGTGAATATACAGGGTGTTCCAATATTTCGTGGACATAGTACTACATATTTTTAGACCCAAAATAAGTCGATTGGATATAATTTACCTCTATGCAAAAGGGCTTCGTTTGTCCGTTAGAGGGTGTCAAAGTTTTCATTTTAATACACATTTTTTAAGATATTTTAAGAATCGATAGTCCGATTAAAATGAAATTTGGAACACATATGTTTTGATAGACGTCCTTATATTCGACTTTCACAAAAAACTCTAAAAGGTTCGAGGAGGGCGAAAACTTCCCCGCCCCTACATAAATAATAGCAGATTTTTTTGGCATCTCTCCCGACGACCTTGAGTTTTTTTCCATTTAGCAGATTTTGTTATTTAATTTATTTTTTTATCTCGTGTAAAACAGGCCATCTCGGATAGTGTTTGAGAATAATGGTGAGTTTACACATGCATGGTTTTAGTGGCGCCAATAGGAACTGGCGCGCCAGTAAATTAAATTGGCATGCATAGACTAAAAAATTCTGTATGCTTCTGAAATCACTGGCGCCAGTGGCAACAGATCTTCGCGGAAAAACATAATGTTGCCTTAATTGGCGTGTGTAAACAAGTACTTGCACGGCGGTTTGCCAGTATTTAGCTTGAGTTTCGTTTCGGTAGAGCGTAGAGCTACTATTTTGTATAATATGGCTAAAAGAAAGTGTTCAGTAGGACAGACAATCAAATTTCTTGAAGGCTATAATCATATTCATGCTTATGGGATGTACATAATACTACAAGCTTAGCGACTATTTTGCAGGCTTCGCGAAGTTCAGCCGACATATTGCGCACTATATTATGAAAATGAAACTGGCTTGCCAAATATTTCTGTTTTTGTACTACAGTGTAAACCTTTACTGGCATGCAAATAAACTGGCACGACGACTGGCGCCACTAAAACCATGCATGTGTAAACTCAGCTTAAGACTGAGTTGCATTAAGAGGTTCCCAAGGATCTTATTAATTAAAACTATGCGAGATGGCATGTTTTTATAAAGGACAAAAGATGAGGTAAATGAAAGGATCTTATAAATAAAAAAAATCAATCATTACAAGTGTCGCGCAAACTACCCCCCTCCCTAGATAAATAATAGCAGATTTTTTTGGCAACTCTCCCGACAGCTCTGAATTTTTTTTATTAAGCAGACCTTTTTATTTAATTTACTTGTTTGTCTTCTGTAAAAACAGGCCATCTCGGATAGTGTTTGAGAAAAAAACTGAGTTGCATCAAGATGTTTCCATGGGTTTTTTTAGTTCTTTAAGTGTGCGAACCCTTCATAAAAGGTGTTCAATATGACCACATTTTTGTTCCAGTAGATAACAATGTGGCATAAGAAGATGCAACACTTGATACAATAATTTTTTTTAGAAACCAGCTCTGAAAAACATTGTTTTTCTCTAAAACTATGCGAGATGGCCTGTTTTTATAAGAGACAAAAAATGAAGTAAATAAAAGGATCTTTCTAATAAACAAAAGTCATTACATGTCGCGAGAAATTCACACTTTGGTTTTTTTTGTTAAAGGAAACATTTAGGACGTATAGCAAAACAAATGTGTTCCAAATTTCATTCAAATCAGACTATCGGTTTCAAAAATACCTGAAAAAATGTATTTTAAAAAGAAAACTTTTTCGCCATCTAACTGACAAACGAATAACTTTTGCATAGAGGAATACTAGGACACCCTGTGTAGATAAATATGTAGGATCTCTAGTGTCAGTTCTGCATTGATGAATCTAGCCGAGAGACGGGTGTAAGCAGTGTTGAAATGGGGGGCATTTGTATGAAAATCAATTTTTTTTGGTCTTATTTTGATCCACTGTTTTTATAGGCTGTAACCTAAAAATATTCAACAATCAAGAATTTGCTGCGTTGCTGTCACAATCAGTGAGTCAGGGATTCGAAGCTGTGTATCAGTTGACTCGGATGTGTACTATCAGAATGTCATTTGTAAAAGGCTGGGGTGCAGAGTATAGGTGAGTGATTCATTGCTAAAGCTTGAAACCATTATATCTATTTGAACCGTTTTCAAATCTCTGTATTTGAAAACTACCGACAGCTATATCTTTGCCGGAAGAACCTGTAAAAAATGAGACAAAATTGCTGACCATTATTCTTGTAGTACAATACTCGGGAAGAATATTATCTTGAATTCTCAGAAGAATTAATAATAGGCTGAAATTTGGAATAATGGTATTTCATAGTATTAGGAACTAAAAGATCAATCTACACCCCACCTGAAACGACCAAGGTTCTAAAAATATTAACTTTTAGGTATAAACATAAAAATATTCTTTTCTATGGTTAGAATTGGATATCGACCTTTATAGGATTTTGGCAGACGCCGATATACCGGCGTTCTCGGCCTAACGGCGGTACGTTCCTTTCACAAACAAGTCTATTGGCGGCTACACACCCAACGCAAATTACAAGTAGGCTTGTATAAGTTTTTTGTACAACTACACATCAAGGACTGGTAACTAACCACGCAACTGTATAATAGCACACATTTTTGTGATTGACATGAAGATGATTTATTTGGCCTGCTTCCGTTTTGTTTCTCAAAAAAAAAGATAAAAATACGCAACATCTGGTTAAAACAGTGACAAACTACAGTTTTGCTTGCTTCAGCCCGACTTGTAAGGCATTTTACCTCTCACGAAAAATCAAATGAAAAATGATTGTAAATTTCCTCAGCTTTGTTGTAGCCATTCACAGTTCTAAAACTTCGCATGTTTTTCGAGATGTAAAGAAGGGAAACATATCTTTACATTTTAAAGTGTCATATTTTTAGAACGTCAATAATTGATTTTTATTACTACATCCCATACTACCTACCACCATGCAAGTGTCTATGCTGTTATTAATTTTTATGACATAAACCTGCCAGGATCGGACTATTGGGATATTCTTATTTAATGTTGATTTCAGGCGCCAAACAGTCACATCAACGCCATGCTGGATCGAACTCCACCTGAATGGTCCACTGCAATGGTTGGATCGCGTCTTGACACAGATGGGCAGTCCCAGGCTTCCGTGTAGCTCGATGTCGTAATCTCGGGCATTTAATTTTTAAACGCTGCCTGTTTTATTTCAAAGCTAATATTTGCCGCTAGTTGGGATATAAATTTAGTATTGGCTCTGGGAATGAGTCCAATGAAAGTTATTACTATCTATTATAGCCGGCACCAGGCACCAACTCCTTTTTTTGTTGTATTAAAGCTAGGCTTATCTATTCAAAGAAAGTAATTGGCTACGTGTATATGGCTTGATGAAATGCTTCAATTGCGTATTGTTATCGCGAAACATTTCTAATTTTGTATATATTATTTGCCCGTATCGACATTACATACGACAAAACATAACCCGTTTCTGTCAGTCTGAATATCGTTGCATTCCTATTGGTCAAACATTACCATTCAGGTTCAGATGATATTTCGACATCAGATAGTGCTATGCCACGACAGTTCTATGGTTTTTAAGAAAGAAACCATCCAATGGTAGAATCACCAAAATACTATTAGCTAAACAATAAAATGGGTTGATTCATATCAACAACATACCAAAAAATATTAGTTTTCGGAAATCAGCCAGTGGCTGTGGGATTGTCAAATAATAAAGTCAAAGTTTCACGTTAGGGCGAAACTAGGAAAGCGGAGGATAAATATAATTTTTTAATGTAAGTTTTCATTGACCATATGAATAGGTACAGTTCACCTTGCCTGATGCACTCTGTTTTATGATGCAGAAATTCTTAATCTTTTTACATATTTACATGCATATCTACGCTCCCATTTAGTCTACTTGACATATTTTTTAGAAATATGCATCAACTACTAAGCAAAACAAATATTTCACGTTCACATGAAATTTACATAAAGGTAATCTTTGTCCTCGTCTTTGTCACCCTTTAAACCATTATAGTTAATAATTGTAATAATAGAATTTATCACCCAACAGATAGAGAATCTCTTTACAGAGCAATATAAAATAAAAAACTATTCTAGTCTGTAACTATGTAAAACTGTAATGACTCATACGCGTGATCAGAGCCTGACCGCCGCCGGGCGACGGAACGGCTGTCGAGAGGCGTCAGGGTAGAACAGGGCGGTATTCTAAACTCTGAGACTTAACACATTCCAAATAAAACACATTTTATTCGCTCAACAATATGTCCCACAAGCATCTTGACAAACTTTGAGATATTAGAATACAAGTATGTTAATAAACAAAAATTTTGCTTTATTTCTTTATTACAATTTTAATTTTTGTATTATGCTCACAAGATCTCATTCATTTGTTATAATAATCTTGAGAAAAACTGTTTCTGAACTTTTGGACTTGTTTTAAGGAGAAAGCTTCCATATAGCGATCTGCTCGAATAAATAAAATATTTAAAAATCACGATCGTGCTACTTTAACTACTACGAAAACAAGGGTCTTCAAAAGAATTAAAAAATCCGCGGAAGCATATAGCGATCTCTTATAAACAAGCCACAATAACGCTTTTCATTGCCTTATTAGATCCTTGCCTGTTGCGGAACGAATGTCAAATGGCTTGGTTTACTCAAGCCGTTGAGCTTTGGACTTTAATTCCACTCCGCTCGAGTGATTTCAATTTTTTTCCTTCAAGTAGGTTTGTCCGATCGCCATGAGACACGAAATCCCCCGTGAAAATTTATACTTATTATCCAGAGAAAATTATAGTCGGCTTTATTTACTAACTCAATGTTGATTTTGCACTACGATTTAGCTGTTGAACAATGAACGAATAGCTGATGCCGCGCGGCATCCTGTTTGCCTGTAACATTATTGACTATCATGCGGGTGAAGCCGTGGGCTTATTCTAGTAAGAAGTTTGCATTTTTGGGAAATATCTCATTTGCATTAATGTTTTATATTTAACAACTTTCTGCAATTCAAGATGATCTTGTGGCCTTAAAAATCATAACGTATTGTTTTTCCACTGATGAGCTCGTCTACTTGTGATAAAACATTAAAACTAGTCAAAATCAACAAACATGCTAAGAGTAAGGAACGCGCAAGAATATTACCATAATTAAACTGAAAGGAAGAATGAAAACTGATTCCGGTCCTGAGATAAGATGACGCCTCAACGCTTCCACGCTACAAGGCCCGATACATTGGCGGAGACTAGTAGTGCTCGGAACTTGTTTCGTCTAATTACCGCGTGATATTGTTTGTTGTTAGACGAATTGTTATTTGGTTATTTCTGTTGTTATTGTTCGGGTTATACTTATATTTCCTTAAGCGTGGAGTTTGAGACTGGGAGTGGAAGTACCGGAAGCCATGGAACAAGTAGAAAGCTCGTGCTCAACGTGTTCAATTATTTGAACAAGTTTTTGTCGCAGGAATATGCACGTACGCGTTACGAAAGCATGACAGGTTTCCCAGAGTGGACTGTTCGCAGGGTGGTGCATGAACAGAAGAAAACTATAGATACTCCTGATCCACAGTTCCATTTGAAAGGACGAAAAGCCATTAAACTAAATGGTGACAGCAAAATGGCGTTAAGACGAACCGTACATTCATTCTTCATTAGGAATGAGATACCAACCCTTAAGGCTATACATGCAAAGATCAAGAGTAATGACATTATACCCCCAGTGAGCCTCGAAGTATTAAGAAAAACCCTGCACGAACTTAATTTTCGTTAAGAAACGCGTAATCGGAAGTCACGATTGATAGAGAAAGCTAAAATAATCGCGTGGCGTCAAAAATACCTACGCGCAATAACTGAATATAGACTACAGAGCAGAAAAATATATTATTTGAACGAGACGTGGGTAAGTGCAGGTCACACAGTTAAAAAATCTGAATATACAACAGGTCTTCGTGCATCGTCAGGTAAAGGTCAATGATTGATCGTTACACATATTGGCAGCGATAGTGGCGTTTTAGAAGGATGCAACTTGACTTTCTCTAAGAAAGGAACCTTCAGCGAGTTGAACCCATGTCTGTGATCGTCATGGATAATGCTTCCTACCACAGTCGTCGACCCGAACGTGTACCAAATATGGGGTCTCGAAAAAGTGAGATGCAGCAATGGTTGCGCGAAAAGGGCATTCCGTTTGACGATTCATGTGTGAAAGCGGAACTGTACGAAACAATTAAACATCACAAACCTACGAACGTTAGTTACGTGATTGATGAGATGGCCCGTCATTGTGGTGTCACTGCTGCGTTTACCGTCCTACCATGGTGAACTGAACCGTGGCAGAATGCTGTCCGTCGTGTTGTGAAGGAAGAAACAAAAATGTGGCACCTTGACCACAACATCGACACCATGATGGAGCCAGTTTTAGCCAATCTTGGCGAAGAAAGCGATAGCGACAGCTTATTACTTTCAGATGGAAGTGGAAGCGACGACCAATGAAGAGAGGTAGACTCAATTACATCATCCCCAAATTTCTGATCTATAACGTCTTCCAAACCATTTAATTTTTTATTAAACACAAAAGAAGTCAATTTCACCCACATTAAACATTCTTACCCCGCAACTGACAACCCGACTACAGGTGTTTAAGTGATGTTCACGTGAACATTGATGAGTCATTACAGTTTTAGATAGTTATGGTATATCTACAGGCATTTTGCCACATTCTATACTCCTAGCAGCACATTTCAGCTCCTTGAGTTTACAATTAAATGGGTCAACATACCGTGATATCTTATTATAATGTTAACACATTACTGGTAATACTGATTTCAACATTATATTTGTCGTGGCAGCAGCGGAATAAAATGTTTGTCTAGAGTTAAACTGAGGTACATTGAATTTAATATGCTATGAAAGATCTGGAATCTGGACAGTCAATAAAATCATACATCAATTTATAAAGGACTGTCAGGGATAACAATGTCCGTCTGAGCAAACTATCATGTTAAATAGGTTTAGCAAAAAATTAAATTCAATTCCTTGTTCTGGATATACAGGGTGTTCCGTATTCAAATAGACAAAGTAAAATGGTGATAGGAAACATGGACGAAGACCTTTTCATGCCTGAACATAAAAAAGTTCTAAATTCAGTTCTTACCAATGTACATTATCTAAATACACAAGATCTTTCATCACATATCTTAGGCAGTATTGAACTGATTTTTTTGAAATTTGTAAGATAACAATGTTACCAACAAGTAACGTAAAAGTAGAGGTACGGTCAAGAAATAAAGTTCTGAACTCGTTTTTTTTTTATTTTTGTTTTACAGTAAAATTAAAATCTTATAAGCTGGATAATGAAATATTTGAATATGTTAAAAAAAAGGAAATGAGTGATGATACAATTGCAGTGAAACTCATTTGCGAATCGAATAATAAAACCTACTTTCAATAATACTACAGCTGATAGTATACTTACATGCAAATTCCTGTCCTTAGAAAATAATTGGTATCGATGAGGAACAATTTCACCACTCACTACACCACGTTGAATCAAGGTTTGCCAAGCTCGAGTAAATCCAAAAAGCCCCTATTATGCGTATGGTCTCGTGAATAACGCTTTACGCATTCAACTAACTTAAAGCGCTCCAGTTGAACAAGCTAATGATGTATCTAAGGAGTAAGTATAATAATTGGAAATAAATAAATTTTCCGTAATATATCACCGGTAACTGTGTTGCAAAACATAGTGGGTGTCAAAGAGCTTTATGTACTAGGGCATAAAGGTGGTAGTAGGCCTAAAAGAGGAACCTAGCGTCAGAAAACATATTTATAAAGCATACTTCATCACCCTGTCGTACGTAAAATATGAATAAATAAATACCTCATCCTAGGCACAAGAACAATTACAGTATTTAACCTTTCATAAGGTATCATTACACTTTTCATATTCATATTTTGAAAACTTGCGCTTATTTTGCTTTTGTATCATTACATTTGAGAGCTACATTATTGCATACCTAACGACTTATCACAGTTAACCCTCAAATGCGCGATTTTTTCTATTAAGGTAAAATAAATATATTTGATGTTAAATTACCTCTAGTTGCCACAAAAAATAGTTAAAAAAATCCAAATTCATAAACACTATTTATTTTTGCAATTTTTTTAAATGTAGCATATGTGCTACAGCGAACATTATAACTTAAATATACAAATCACGGAACTATACTGGTTGGTAGCTTACAGAAATAGGTCTTAAGCTTTTGGAATATGCTTTAACATTTTATTTATGGAAATCATGAAAACAGTCTTTAGCTTTGTTAAAGCACAGTGAGGTTTGGCATTTTTCATACATGACGTACGCAAACCCACCGCACTTGGGAAGTTTACAACGTCCTTTTGAGTTTTGACGAATACCTATTTTGCAAAGTGTTTCTCCTAATTCAATCCTAAAATTTGCCAGCTCAAGTGTTTTAGTATTTCCCTTCTGAGCATTAACTCTCCTATATAGAAGCCAAGCATTTACTATTGTCATGTCCAAAAGGTGATAAAAAAAGTCTGAAATACCACTTCCTTGATTTGAGCTTGATACGGTATCGACCAATCAAACTATCCATAAGGTCTACTCCTCCCATATTTTTATTATATTCTTTTACGATCTGGGTAATCGATCTCCACTCTTTTATTTTGAGATTTATCGTATCTGTCAGCTTTGGATTTGGGAAGAGTTCCACAAAATTTAGACACAAGGGACACAATTTAATTGTCCTTCCATGCAATTGAAGAAATTGGTACTCCTTCCATCTCAGTAATATATTCCTTACTGGTACCTCGATTTTCTTTACTCATTTCCTTATCTCCTGGAAGGGGGCATTTTGGTATCCGATTTCTTCTGATAGTACCCAAAGCTTGAACACCGCGTTGAGATAGCTGTGCCAGAAGTGGTATAATAACTATCAAAGTATAGGGTAATTCGGGGAGTGATGGCGCACCTTTTTCTTTAACAGCTGTATAAATCGAAAGAAAGACCAAATCATACTCAAAACTTAAACTTTTATTCTTTGGTTATCAAGCAACAAATATCAAACACATTATTCAAATTAGGAAGTATACAGAAACATAAAAAGCTAGCTCTAAGGACATTATACAAAAATCCATCTAACCCGGAAGATGCGGTTGAGATGGCGCAGCTATTTCGGGTGAGATGGCGTACACATAGTAAGATAAAATATTTACTTCTTGGCATTGAATTCGTTATTCAAAACTGCTTTTGCACACCCGTTGCATAACTCACTATAACGTGAACATGTTTCGTGGTACCAAGACAAACATCGGATACATTTTAGCCAATCATCAGGCTTTTTTGTTGTGGCATATGCCTCATTACAACCTCTACAGCACTCATCTTCTGAGCCTTCTGAAGAAGAATCATGTAAAGACACATCCGCTTCTGATTCTGAAGAAGTGTTTTCAACCAAATTTAATTTTCGACGGCGCCTACTACCCTTTTGTGTTTTCTCATTTTTATTTTCCACTTTCCTTGTTACAATTTTCCTTGGATGTTTTTCCTGCTTAGATTTTTTGTTTGTAATACTTTCAGCGGAGTTGAGTATTGACGCCACTTGTTTGCTGCGTTTTCTAACTTGCTGAACAGGTGTACTAGTACACGGTATGGGAGAAATATTATTTAACATTTTGCCAGGCGTCAGGTTATTTTTAGGAGGGCTTTCTGGTGGGGGAAGACTGTCCTTTGAACATCCTGGTTGAGGGTGATCCAGAATACTTGCTTGAGTTGTTATCTCTTGTTCGTTATTATTGCAATTATTAACATTATCCTGAACATCTGTGGTCTCCGACAAAAATGCTTCATCCGGAATTGCTTCAGGATTAAATGGTACGATACCTGTTGCCTTAAAGGCTGCCACAGCATTACTTACTGTGGCAGACTTGACCCACGCCGACGCAAGAAGTTCTCCAAACTGAAGCCGTGTCAACCTTCTTGTAGGGTTATTTTTTATATAAAGATTGCACGCTCTGTAATAGTTCATTTTTAATGACTTAAAAAACCCCCTATCCAACGGTTGCAGAAATTGTGTCGTATGACTGGGTAGGCATACAAGGATGATATTGTTACTGCTGGCAAACTCGAGCATTTCAATGTTGTTACAATGTGATCCATGTCCATCCAGCAAAAGAATAACCGTCCCAACTGGTTTCCTTGGTAGGAATTGTTCTTTTAGCCAAAGGTAAAAGAGAGCACTATTGATGTAGGCGGATTTTTCATTCATGTAGACTTTTGACCCCGGTGGCAGACCGTCTTCATACTCAGCTTTCTTATTTTTGCCCTTCATAATGCAGGTAGGGGGAATATATACACCTTCCGCACTAAAACATGAAATAACAGTAATGGTCTCTCCCTTTTCCGCAGCGGTGATGCTAGCTACATTCTTAGAACCTTTGGCAGCAACAACGAATCCGGGTTTGTTATTCAATTGCATTCCAGTCTCGTCCACGTTGAAGATGTGGCTATGCTTTTCAAAGAGTTGATTTTCTGCAAGGACTCTTTCCAAAAGCTTAAAGTAGTCAGCAACCTCTTTGCGTCTCATTCCTTGAGCGCGCGCAAGAGACACTCCTTCGGACTTTCGAACTGACAAACCCGGATGACGCGATAAGAATGAATGTAACCAGTCATACCCTGCTTTTCCAGATTCATGATTGAAGCGGTGCTTTATTTGCAACTGTTCAGCCAACTTAAAGGCCATAACACGGACGTCTTCTCGAGTAGGAGCAAACCCATGTGCTTGTAGCTTTTTTATGTGTGTCACAATCTTATTTTCATTTTGTATGCCTAGACATGCTGACGGCCCCTGAGGTCCCACTACCAGATTACCAGATTTCTTTCGTCTTCTTAAAGTGGTTGCTGGAACATTAAAATGTCTTGCAGCTTCATTTACACCCATGGAGTTATTATTCACAGCAGCAATGGCTAGCAGTAACTGTTCCTTGGTCCATTGTCCACGTAAAGACGTACTACGCCTATTGTATTTCGTCGGCATGGTACTGGAATAAAAAAATATATAGGTATTCAAAGCTCCAACTCACCCGCAGTTTAGTGCACCGTCTCACCCAAAAATGCCGGGTGAGATGGCTCACTTAATTACTAAAACTGGCAACGACTAAAAATCTTCGTGCTAGGTTAGAATCACTCCTACAAGCGGCTGTAGCAATATTATGTCACTAAAAATGAATTTAATCATGGAATAACTTACCAGTCTCTTGTTGATCGTACCGTGATGCAAAATTTTGCAAATTCACGATTAGTTTTCTTGCTTCCGCCACTCCAATTATCGTGAGAAACCACTTTTTCCGCCGTACATTACTTATTTCTAGGAGTGTTTATAACATAACTAACATGTCGTGTCTTGATGTTAAACATGTTGCCAAATATAGCGCTGCGCCATCTCATCCGGTGCGCCATCTCTCCCGGAATTACCCTACATGATAATTCATATCATTTGGTAGATTACGTAGAAGTCTGGCTACGATGTTAGCACATGCCCCTAAATCATTCTCATTTAGCCCTATTGTGTTTTCTTGTCCACTGTAAATTTCAAAATTATAACAATATCCTGAACTCCGGCCAACACATAAACCTTGAATCCCAATTTATGCGGTTTTGCTGGCATGTATTGCTTGAGATAACTTTTTGTTTTTGTTGGGCACATCTGTTCATCAATTGATAGGCATGCTTCATAAGGAACAGACAGGTAACGATAAAGAAGGTGATCAACCAGTGGCCGAATTTTGTGAAGTCGATCATGCAGTTCATGTCCCCTAGAGTTATCGTTGAAATGCAGGTGTTTTTTTATTTTCTCGAATTGCTTTTGCGACATCGTATTTTTGATAATATCTGTACCAATGGTAGAAGACCAATAGCTTCGTATATTGGGCATATGTATAACTGACATCAGAACACATATTCCAATGTATCTTTTTATATCAGTTTCTTGTAGAGATACAGGATTGCCTGTATCTAATTGTGCCGAGAATAAATTTGACTGCTCCACGATACGCTTGATAAGATCTTGATCAAAAAAGTAGGTGAAGAACTGGTAAGGAGTTTCCAAATTGCAAAACACGTCTGGCAGTTTTTCACTACCTTTGAATTTAACAGATTCTTCGGGCATAATCAAGTTGCCCTCTCTCGACTTCAGCTTACACAAGACTTCTGTAATTCTTCTTTGATCCTCAGCTGACTGCTTTTTTCTTGTTTTTTCGTCATTGCGGAGTACTTCATTCTTGCGTTTCCGACTAGTATCTTTATTGGCATCGTGTTTTGGTATATTGCCGGAGAATATCGTCGCCTTAGTAAGAAAACCGCGTAACTCCATTTTAGTAAATTTTACAGGAGAAGGAAAAAACGTTTTGTGAGAGTTACATCAGTGATAAAATATTTTTGAATTTTGCATGTATATAGAAAAACACATTAGATTTAACATTTCGGGTAAAAATATAGAAATTATGTGATTGTAATGATTTAAAAAGGAGTTACGCTACTTTCTTATGAAAAATTGTAAAATAATTGGAGATACATGGTTTTCGCAAAAGAAGATAAATACTAGGTAACTACACAAAACTTATTTTATATTAAACCGAATACGTATTTTAAATCCAGTAAATAAATTCATAACGATTAAACGAAAAAGTAACTTTACAAAACAAACTTATGCATACGGAAGTTCTTCATAAAATTGATGATAATCTTGTAGAAATCCTGATTTCAGAATTTGGAAGTGCTCATATTTCTCCTTTTTAATTTTTCTGCGTTCTGTGTATAAAGATGGCAAATCGTCAAACTTGCACGGAGCCATTTTTTTATTCATTCTTTGGTTTAATGTACACCAAGCATCTGTATGCCTTATCTTGAATTGGATTTCACTATTTGGTAAGTACCTTAGAGCCTTTATGTCAGTGACGCCAGCGACCCTACCTGGACGTATAGAAGTATAAAATTTTATAATATCCATTTTCTTAAAGAATGAATGAGTGAGATATTTGACATTATATGGAGATTGACTTGATCTTGCCTTCTGGCAGTAGTAAGCATAATCGGCGGGAAGGTTTATTTTATTATGCTATTCTTTCAATGGTTGCATGCATCGAGTCCACCTCCATCTGAGTATGACCTTTGAACAAATACTTTTGAGTCAACACGATTTTATGCTGTGCAGCTGACTTTACAAATTATCTCTTGTTCAACAAAAACAGAAATTATGCTGGAAAATTCGTCTGCAGTCCAGGCCCCTTCGCTTTCATTCCACAGGAAACAAAATCCATCTTTGGATTTCAGGTTATAAATAGTGAAGTTGTGTACTACCAGTTTGGTTTTGTACTACATTACAGCGACTGTCGATTTGGGAGCTAACAACACGCTTTGTAAATCCATTGCATACACGTTTACTGTAACATCGCTGGTAGATTTGTCTTTTTCCTTTTCTTGACGTGCCTCTAGCTTTAAAGTTTGGTGTAGGTTATACTTACCTTCAGATAAGTTCTTCGTTTTGTATGCCTCGCACACGTCGCACAGATCTTTTTTGGGTATGTAGAGTGACAAGTTCAGCTCTTCAAATATCTTCATGAACGTTGCTATGGATGGAGGCTCTAGATTACGTTCGCCGCAATATTCTGCTTTGAAAAAATTATAGAGTGCTACATTTGAACGCCAAAGTACCTCAAGAAATAATTTTTTCGAGTAAGATCTAGAATAATGGCTTTCCATGTTTGGTAAGGATTGTAAAAACTGATACACAGCCGTATTTTTTTCCGCAAATTTCGCCCTTCTTGTTTCACTTTTTCTGCTTCCCTGGTGGTCACCAGGCTCGTTATTAAATCCAAGACAATATCAGTGTTTCTTTTAAACCTAGTGTACTACCAAACATCCGCTTACACACTCTAATTCTTTCCAAATCCACTTATAAAAAATATTTCATAGAATACTTTCTTTTAGACACTTCAAGTTCTCCTCTCCTTCTTTTAACATTGTCGCAATGCAGTAGGGCCTGTACCTGCAATTTTCTTTCATCTCGAGTCATTGTATTCGGACTTTTGGAAAATTTTAAACGGTTTTCTTCCGTCATTTTTTGACACTGAATTGCAGTTTTTTTCTACTAAGAGAACAGTTGCGCGGATTTTCCAAGAACTTCCCTAAACAATATTTTTTTTTATTTTTTTATGTTTTTTGTTGTATAACACTATGTACATACCTGGTTTGTTAATGTTGTAATTCCATGTACCGGTAATTTCTTTTTTACCTTGGTAAGGCTGACCTCTTAAACGTTTATATTTATTGATATTGTAGTTCCATGATTCAGACAATTTTTTCTTCCTTCGAGTTCTTGTAGTAGGTAGGCTGGTATCGGGATTGTTTCTTTCTTCGTTGTAATTAGAATTATCTTCATTGGCAGAGTTACTACTACCAGAATCGTTTTCCTCAGGAACGTAAGAAACATCCAAGTCATCGGCGGCGCCGTCGTCGTGTTCAGAAGTATTCGTGATAGTATTATTGGTGTTATCTTCGTCTTGCTCCGTTTCTAGAATCTCTGGATTGTCCAGTTCATTGTTCATGCTAATGCATCATTTAAATCTGTCTGCAAGTCAAAGTGGTCAAAATCGGTCGAAATACTAGCATCGTTTAAGCCTGTCGGCACTTCTAAATGGTTAAAACTGGTCGAGTTATGGTTGATTATGCTAGCAGAATCGTTTAAGTCTACCGGTAATTCTATATGATCAAAACTGGTTGAAATCTTCGGTGGTGGAATCTCATTACTAGTTACAAGAGTTTCATTTATTTTACTAGATGGTTGTGCGTGAATAGGAGAAAAAATTCCATCTTTTCCAATCTCGTATTCAACAATATCCACACAAGAATGGCTTGCTTGTTGGTTACTCAACTTCATTATAAGTTTTGTGCGAGTCGACATCCTAAAATTAAAAGTAACATATTAACTCATCAAACTTTAAATTAAAAAATAACTAGGATTAAGAAGTTATACGAAAAAAGAACGGAAAAACGCGTAAGTACATAATAAACACATTTAATTGAAGTAGGAAAAGCGCGTATGTCCATAGCCGGTAACAAAGTTATAATTGAAACAAATATAATACATTTTTTGAATCAATTAAACTCTTAAAAGTACCATAACAACCTTACCTTTATATTAAATTAGTTTTTCTACTTCAAAACGTATTGGTTTTTTTCACTAAACTTTCATCAAACTTGCAAGCACCTGCTTACACTCTGGAACTATGCGAAAACTGGGAGTTACGCAGATTTCTTAACCAAAATTTAACAGAGGGACATACGTCATTTTCTTGATGTAGTTTTGACGCGGGAAATGTTGTGGCAGTTACGTGGATTTCACACTAGTTAGGTTTGATGTTTTTTTATTAGATGGCGCTAAAAGGTCAATATGCCCCAAACGTGGAGTTACGCGGTTTTCTTACTAAGGCGACGATATGTTATGTTGGTTGCTTTCACGTAATACGTTTAGATATTAGTCTTCTTGTAAAGCTGAACATGATTCGCTACTACTTTCCAAAGATTGTTCAGAAACATGTACAGATGACTGCTTTTTATATAAATGTTCGTTAGAAACAGGACGCGAGTCTAGAGACAGATCAGGCAAAATTATCATGGGCATTTTGTCTATATCAAAATCATCATTTTCATCATCCAGAAGATCATTAGCTGGCGAAATGTTATCAAAATCTTGTGGGAGCGCGTCGTCATCTGAAGTTTCTAGTCCGTCTTCACTGACTTCAGACAAATGGTCTGCAAATTACTGAAGCTCCGCCTGCGTTAGCGGCCTCTTCTTTTCCCAATTTTCCTGCATAGAATTGGACGCCTTTTGTTAGAATTTTATTGCGCGTTGTTGCAGATATGCAACATTTCTTTAGTAAGCGTTTTGAAATTCTATTTCACATTTTTTGGGATAAAAATACTAAATGTGGGTTAAGATTACCATATTCCTGGCCACAACAATTTTATAGTGCAACTTCACTGAAATATTTCATCAAAAACGAGGACCAAACTTGTTCAGTTTTGTGCGAACGTCAGAGTTGTAGGACGCACCGACTTGCACTGACTTGAACAAATCCGCATGCTGCCATCTGTGAATTCACTGATAAATTATCGTAATGTAATAGTTTTTATACGAATTAATCTGCAAGAGGTTTCGGAATATGCATTATATTCAGAAATAACAGTTAATTGAAAAGCGTAGCATATATGCTATGCTACACATTTAACGGTTAAAATACACGCATGATTGTTATTATAATATTGCTACTTCTGCGGCAGATATTTTCTTTACAGTAGTACAGGCAGTAGCATATTATGGATTTTTTCAGAAATAATGTATCTATCCCTTGTACGTACTATAGAGTCTGTTTGGTTTATATCAGTTTGTGAGATTTTATAAAAGGTTTGTTTTCTAATTGTTAAGGAGAGAACCAGGTAATATGGACACGAGTTGGTCGAAAAATCGTTTTTATTTTGTTTTTATTGTAGTACCTTTTGCTCTTTTTTTGAATGCAATTGTCATGTGGCTTCAGAATAGCTCTAACCTCGAGCATATATTTTGGAACTTTAAAAATGAGTAATTTTATAACACAATCCTTTAAAAGCTTGTATCAAGGCCAGATGCTCTGTTGTTCAGTTTATGTTTGCCGCGCAGCATCATATCTTCAGTGCGTTGTGTGTCGTGACTTGAAGCGTTAAAACGTTTATTTCCATGTATATCTTCAAAATTAAAAAAAGAAGAGGTTAATTTTTCATCACTCGAGTAACTTTCAAAACATGTTTAGGTCAACCTTATATCTATTCATCTATTATCTGCGCATGGGGCATGCGTCATTCAAAAATTTGTCAAAAGGAACTGACGCCGTGTTTTTTGTGTAGTTACACTAGACATAGGCTTTATGGACAAACTTTTATAATGTTTAGATTGTCTTTAGATATTTCTTTCATCTAGATTGTTGCAGATCCTATCTATTTTTTATATTAGAGACTGGACCCTTGATCAGAGGAATATTTCAATGTGGCCGTGTTATACTTGAAATAATAATAGCGTTAATTTGCAGACTAGTAAACAGACGAGCTGATCAAAGTACTAGCCCAACAAACAAAATTACAACAGAGGAGTTCTTAACCAAATTATATAAGTTACTATTAATAATGAATGAATAGTAATTAGAAACGTGAAAGAAAATACAGTACAACCTCGTTAATCCGAATAGATTCGGACCACCGAGCATTCGGATTATCAAATTTTCGGATTATCGTGAAACTAGTGAAAATAATAAATTTAGACACAAGTATTAAAAAATAAACTTTATTCTTTTCAACAAAACGTAAATTTAACAAACCAAGGACAGTGGTCAGTTAAATACTGCACGTAAAACAAAATTAAACTTTCTCCTTCAAAAAAACTTAAATTAACATTCATATGTATTTATATGAGTACAGTACATACATAATTATGTATACATAAATCTATTGGGTAAAGAAATCAGTTATTACAGTTTGCTTATGCGCCTTAAAGCGTAAATTCACTGCTTTTTCCTGTAACTGGCGAAGAATTAGCAGTGCTGGACCGCTTACACTGTTCTCTGTCGCCCACTCTATGCAAGTAGTAAAACATCGCACGGCTTCACCGTGACTCACAACTGCTAAATTTTCATAATCTTCAGCGTCTTCAGGGGTGTCATCGTTGTTGCCGCTTAATGCAATGTTTACCAAATCTTCATCAGAAAATGTTATTTGCTCATTTTCAGCTGCGTCGCCCAAGGCCCATGTTCTAACTTCATTCGCTGCAAGATCCGGTCCTGATGAGATGACATTCATCAGAACCGTCATTTCTTCAAATTCTCGCTCATCTGATATCGCTCTTCTCCTTAGTTCTGCTAATGGCATCAAGTCTTCTTCGTCATCGTATTCATCGCCCAAATTTTCATGGATATTTAAAGGCCAAAGCTTTTTCCATGATTTTTTTATTAATTCAGTGCTGACGTTCTCCCACGACGTGTGGAGATTAAAAATTGCATTTTTTAAATTGAAACTTTTTAATGCTTCTGCTGGTTCGGTATCATCAGCAATTAAATGAAGAAGAAGCTGCTTCCTGTAGTGCATTTTAATAGCTTGAATGACATGTTGATCCATCGGCTGCAACAATGGGGTACAATTTGGTGGCAAATATAAGACACAGACTAGACCATCTCTGCTCCGCAGTTCTTTTTGTTCGGGATGGCTAGGTGCATTGTCCAGCAGCAAAAGAGCACGAGGAGGTAAACCGATTTGCTTTAAATGAGCTTGCACTGAGGGACGAACTCTTCATGGAACCATTGCTTGAAAAGTTCTTGATTCATCCAAGCAGATCTCTGATTTTTGTAAATCACGGGCAACTTATTTCGACAGTTTTTAAATACTCTAGGATTGGCAGCTTTTCCAATTGTGAACAGCTTTAATTTGTGAGATCCGGATGCATTTGCACATGGCATGAAAGTAAGCCGATCCTTGCTTATCTTTCGTCCCGGAGCTGAGTCTTCGTCTTTATGTACTAATGTCTTATTGGGTAGCGCCCGCCAAAATAGCCCACTTTCATCGGCATTATACACTTGTTCCGGACCCAAATTCATTTCCCGCACTTTATTTAGAAATAGTTTTTGAAATGGATCAACTGCTGCAAAATTGCTCGAAAGTTTTTCTTCCGTAACGGTTAACTGACGAATTTTAAACCGCTTTTTAAAATTATCCAACCAACCAGAACTTGCCGCAAAGTCGTCCCGTCCCGTAATTTCTTTGTAAAAAAATTTCGCCTTTTCTTGCAGGATTTCGCCCGAAATGTTCACATTTTTGGTCCTCTGCTGCAGGAACCACGTGTACAACGCCGTCTCTACATTGGGGTGCTTGGCCGTCTTCAAAGTCAGATGTGTTGTTTGTTGTTGATGAGAATTCATGTATTCAGCAATTTGGGTCTTCTTTTTCTTTATATCTGTGATGGTTGACCTCCCAACTCCATATTCTGCGACGAGCTGCACTGGACTTCGTCCGTTGTCTAATTTCTGAATTATCTCATATTTCTGCGCAAGGCTAAGTGTCTTGTGTTTCCTCTTAGACATGGTGCACGAATTATAACTATATTTCAAACGCGTATTAACTCTAGGCACTAAGAACGCACCGCACTCGAAACTAACAGCCTATGTACTGAGAAGTTCGACAGGCTATGACACGATTTTTCGGATTATCAAGGTATGACGCAATACGATTTCGGATTGTCGAGGAACGAAATTATTTCGGACTATCGCGATTTCGGATTAGCATGTATTCGGATTATCGAGGTTGTACTGTATATGTATATAAAGAAATTATATAAAAAATATAATTTAACGAAAAATGTCAAATCATTTAGGCAGATTTAACAAAAAAAAAACATTTAAAACATAAAAAGGAAAGGAACAATATAAAATAAACACTACAATTCATCTAATAGAAATTTTCTGTAACTTCTTTTAAAAGCTGACACAGACATAGACTTAAGTTTTGTGGGGACGTGATTATACAAGTGGTAGATAAAATGAGAAAAACATCTGTTAAACATAGATGTACGAAGACGTGGTTGGGAAACCAGCTTCCGATACCGAACATTGATATTGTGAACATCACTTCGAAATGTAATCTTATTATATAAATAAGGCGGAGTTTTATATAGAATAATTTTATGAAACAAAACTGCATGGTTTGATGAAGTCTTCAGAACATTTCTGTCTTCCAAAATTAATTTTCAATTAGACATTCACGTATTTAGAGATGCATAGCGTTTTCAAATGCTTAAGTTGTAGCGTATTAGAGAGAAGCGAGATTTTCCGTAAGATGCGTTTACGCATAACCAAACGAGAGCCCGCGCAGTGAGCGATTTCTCTGCGGTTCTCTTTGAGATGTTTTGTGTCCTTGCGCATGCAGCTCTAAATGCTAAAATATCCCCCATAGCTTCACGGTGCCTAGTATAAACCGTCATGGTGGTTTACATTTGAAAAAAGGTTGTATAATGTGAGGTGGTCATTTATACTCGTGCCAAGTGTACGTACTTTCAAGAGTTTGCAGGCCTTGGAGTTCTATCTGTGGGATCTTGAAAATAGAAAACCCTTGTTGTGAAATGGGTCATAGTTTGATCGGTTGAAACCTTTATAATGAGCAGCTAACCAATTGCACAACACTGCAAACTCCAAGAATAAAGAAGGATGTTATCCTTGTACAATATTACAATTTTTGGTGACCATTGTCACAATTGTATAGAGTCTAATGGATCATTGAATAGCTTGAGTACCTACCTGATCTGCTGAGAAGTGGTAACACCCAGTGCTAAGAAAATAACGGCAGTAAGATTAAGGTATTTTATATTTAGGAGTCTCGAAATTGCGTGCGGCAGCTTAAATTCTATTCTAATCTTACATTTAATGGTTCTATTATGTATTACATGGTCACATTGGAAAATTACCAGAAAGAAAAATAGTTTTATTGCAATAGATGTTTAAAAAAGAATATCAAAAATATTTTTCTGATAAAATCAAGAAAAAGTACTTCGTTTTGTTTTAGTGACAATAAAAATATGTTCATACACATTTTTCAAGCCGTTTATCCTATAATTTTTGTTTTGCACTACTTTTATTCTGTATGAAACAGTATCATCATCATCGTGGGAATCAAGTAATCTAAATCCGTTGATAATAATACTTTTTTCCATTTAGTAAAATCAGAGTAGATTTTTAGCATAAATCAGTAACTTGCTGTTTGATATTGTATATTGTCTACCGAGTGACAAATGGTATGTCAGAGTAAATTAGAACAAATTCAAAATCAAGTTGTTGTGTATTGATTGAAGTATGAGTGTATTGACACATCATTTTATTTTCTGATACTGTGTTAAAACATGATTGAATCTATACAAATCTAATTTTGTTTTGGGCTCCCAAATCAAACTATATAAAGGTATTTATTCCGTAATACGGTGATGATTCTCAAGATGGTGACTTCTTCGTAGATTTGCTATTATCGGACGCATACAGACTGGCTGTAGCATTACTGTGATTAAATGTCAGCAGTCAGTCTGAAACGTTACGGATCACGATTTATATTTGTACTAGTTGTATTGCAGACAAATGTTCGATATTTATAAAATACGATATAACTATAATGTGAAAACGATATATTTTTTTTAAATTTGTCAACAGTTCCACTGAATCGTTACGCTGACAGACATTATACACGGTGCATAAAACGAGGTTGATCTGCATCTACAGATAGCATCCTAGTATAACAGACAAAAACCATTATATATATTTATATATATATATATATATATATATAGACATCATGCACCAAAAGATTCAGAGATTAATATTTTTTGTTGTGAGGAATTTAAATTATTGGATACTGTTTAAAGGCTTCCTGAAAGTTCTCACCTGATGTAATAAAATTAAGATTTTGTCTGTAGTACAGCTATTTCATAACTATTTATTCAACTGATCCTTCTTATAAAATGGCATCACTCTGTTTTAGTGCTCTAATAATTAGTAATAAGCATGTATAACGATCTTTTTTTTATAATCATTAGCACCCTACAGAACCAGTCTGTATCTCGCCCCAGTTTGTTTAATGTCATTTGAATTTGTTATTTCGTTATTATAGCTTTAAGTTACGAATCATGTTGAGCTCACACATTTGTAATATATTCTTTTTTCATTATTGTATAGGTACCGATAGTTTTTATTGTCAAAGCAATTTACCAAATTGATTGTATTTTACTTTCAAAAATATAAACGTTAATTTATAAATTCGTCTTTTTCTAATACCATAGCACAGGTCAGTCCAAAAGAGACAATATGTACAAGGATATCCTCTCTTGCTCCTCTTGAAGGACATAAGATCCAGGGTAAGAAGTATTGAAATAAAGTTTGTTTTAAAAGCAGGTGTATGTGTTTTGTTTTTCGGATCATGTGACAATAGTACAGTCACTTTTGTAGCATTGATCAAGTGATACACCAAGTTTCATGGCATAACCTTGTTTGGAATAATTTATGTTGGCAATACTGATTAAACTACCTTCTGGTAGTTAATCAATGTTGGCATTAACAATTTTGGGTTGTATGGGCACTTGTACTAATCCTAGTCAAAATTTCAGACAACAGCCTTTCAGGGAATGTGTGTTCTAGAACTAAGCAAATAAATATAAAATCCATTTTTTTTTCTTTTTTATTGTAATGATCTATAATCATTTGTTGTAAATAAACTTTTATCACATCTATAACGTTAGCCTGGAGGCCAGTGCATTTGTCTCCCAGACAAAACATGAACATGGAGATGGTAGACTGACTGGGCTCCCACACGTCCATCATTGATGACAATCCTAGTAAATACATTAAAAATTTAATATAAATACATTATAAACATGTTAAAAATGCAAAATATATATTCTACTAGCTTAAACCCCGCAGCTCCGCCCGTGTGTGGGAGTAGTGTAAAGTATATTTCATTCATTTTGCATTAGTGTGAAGGAGTGGTACAAGGATTTTTCTGTATACCCTTACTAATTTTGATCGAACCAGCGACTGAGCGCTTCCGCGCCAGACACTTCATGTCAATGTCTATTAAGCTGTTTGTGAAATGGATATTGCAGTTATTTCCCAGGATAAAAGGTAGCTTATATGCTATTCCAGACAGTAATCCACCTCTGTACCAAATTTTGGTATTGAGTAACAAACATCCAAACTTTCTCATTTATAATATTAGTAGCAATTCCAGAAAATGACATATAATAGAATAAGAACATGAGGCCATGTGAAAATCACATTTCAATTATGAAACCTTGATAATGCTCTGTTAAAGTAAGGATGTATTAAAAAAGATATGGGATTCAACATTTTTCCATAATTTGATAAGAGCATTGTTCTCTGACATAAATCATTGTTAATCCTATGTCAATACACAATAATTTTACATATGAATGACTCAATTATACATGTTGCCATATAATTCAAACTTTTCATGTTTTATAATTGAAATTTTCTTAACTAATAATTTAAATAATCTGTACGAGATAAATTACAAAACTTGATTTATATTTTTTGAGGGATTTAAAAATGTACAGTAGTGCTATCCAATCAGTGGTAGATTTAGAGGTAAGGAGGCTGTGTGATGTAAAAATGACCTTGCTAGATGAGAATTGAGGAAAAAATGTGTATAGAAACATCAGTTAGCATTGTAGCATCAATGTTTTTTTTAGGCTGTAAAAGAAATGAGCATGATAAGTTAGTAAATATCTAAAACAAGTTTCATGTATTTGAATTTATTTATTATATATGTTATATATTATTTTAGTTTTTAGTCTTTTATTATATTTAGTTCATTTAAGAGTACCAAAAATTCCAAACTGTTGGCCATTTCTTGAAAAACATTGGATCAAGTTACATTAATGTTATGCAAAATTAACTATTGATGGTTATCATTGATGTATCATCTGCCCCCTAATTCTCTCTCTTCATTGTCATAAGCGGATTTGCTCCCAACACCATCCACCCACTATTCACTTTTTAATAGCTGAACAGCTCAGCCATCACCATGCTGCCACCACTGCTGTGCCTCCCTTAGACAGATTCCTAAATCTTCAGTTGTATCGATATTTTAGCTAACTTACCTGAAACCATCATTCAATCCTCGTTTCTCAGCAATCTTTTTAGCAACAATAAGGAGATGACCAAGTAAAGCCTCATCACCATCTTGAGCCTTAGAGAGTTGAGTAATTGGCTTTCTAGGAATTACCAAGAAGTGTACTGGTGCTTGTGCATTGATGTCATCAAATGCCACACACTGAGGACAAAGAAACTGATCATACAGATACATAGTCATGCCATAAGTTCTGTCCCTCGTTTTCAAACAAGTGTAGACCTGTTAATACTTGTCCGATTGTTTACATTGTGGTGTCAGTTGATTAAGCGCTTTTCGGGTAATTACATATACCTCAGTTTGTATTGATCTCTCGAAGCATAACGATGGAGTGGGGCAAGGCAGAGAACCGTATTGCAGTGATAGCTATACATAAGTGTAATCACAGTGCTAGTCAGATTTTTGAACTCTTACGCGGCCTTCAAATATCGCGTAAATTTGTGTCTAGGACCATTCAGCGGTACAATGAGACGTCCTCTGTTGATGACAGGCCAAGAAGCGGAAGACCTCGTCAAGTAAGGACTCCAGCAGCCATCAAAGCCGTAAAAGCCAGGATTCAAAGGAATCCACTCCGGAAGCAGAAGATCCTATCCAGGGAAATGAAGATTCCTGTCCGGACGATGTCGCGCATCATTAAACAAGACCTAGGGCTAGGGGCTTACCGGAGACGTACGGGCCAGCGACTTACGGCCACCTTGCGACACATCAGGGCGACAAGATCCAAGAAGCTCTTGGAGAGGTACGCAGCTGGGGGATTCCGAAAGATTTTGTTCACGGATGAGAAAATCTTCACCATAGAAGAAAAATTCAACCGACAAAATGACAAAGTGTATGCAAGGAGTTCACAGGAAGCTTCGGAGATCATTCCGAGAGTTGAGAGAGGCCACCACCCTGCGTCAGTCATGGTTTGGTGGGGGGTGTCCTACGAAGGGGTCACTCAGCTCCATTTCTGTAAACAGGGCGTGAAAACAAAAGCGGCAAACTATCAGAGCGACATACTGGATCCTATCGTCAAGCCTTTAAGTGGTACATTGTTTGCCAACCAACACTGGGTCTACCAGCAGGATTCCGCCCCCGCTCACAAGGCTAAGAGTACGCAGCGCTGGCTGGAAAGCAATGTGCCAGAGTTCATTGCTGCGGAAGATTGGCCCTCAGGGAGTCCGGACCTCAATCCTTTAGACTACAAGTTGTGGGACCTGCTAGAGCAGTTGGCCTGCTCCAAAGCCCACCGTAATATCGAGTCCCTGAAAGCGGATTTGATCCGATCAGCGGCAGCTATTCCTTTGGAAGCTGTGCGTGCAGTGATAGATGAGTGGCCCGCGAGATTGAAGCAGTGTGTGAAGGCCAAGGGGGGACATTTTGAATAAAACTGTTTGATTATGAATTCTAAAAATGTTGTCGAATAAATAATATCTTTCATATAAATATATCTTATCTTGTTTCATTTTTATCATGAGATTATCATGGGACAGAACTTATGGCACGACTACGTAGAAGTGTTATGGTAGGCTCAGTAGTATTTAATATGCCAGAAATAGAAGCAAAGGTCAAAATGGACTGCTGGCCCATGATCAAAATGCCCTTCTGTCCAGATTAAGATCTACAACCCAGTTTAGTCCAAGTTACATAACTGGATGTGTATGACATTAATAGATTAAAAAAGCATATCGTTTTTTAGAACAACTTGTCTGGATGTTGCTACAGTTGTCTAAGAGAATTTTTGGCGGTGCAGCAGTAACCTCACGATTTTATTATCTTTAACAAATAATAGTGGAATCAGTAGATAATGTTGAAATTACACGGTAATTTCAAATATCTGTATACCGGCCGGCAATAACTTCCAAATGTTTTAAAGGTTCTTTTTATGATATAAAAATTCTAGAAACAAGTTATCATCAACTCACCAAATCGTCTTCGTAAATAAAGTTACAAGGTATTTCTTTCCGCAATATTTTCCCAAAAATTGTATCTCCTCCAGCTTGGGCACTCTGAGCCAGCTGCACTTCGTCAGCCATTTTTTCAAATGATAATTTTTGATTAATCATGAATGACAGAAAATAATATCAGACGTCACAATTGAGCTGCGTTCGTAAGTTAGTTACATCTACTGCGGTGCGTTTGCAAATCACTTGGTAATGTAATACGTGTGTAGTACCGTAATAAATTATTACAGAGTCATGTAATGACACTTGATGACAGTCGACTAATTTCTAACTATGTTTTTTATTATTATAAGAGACCTGGGGATACGGGTAGCATTTATTATGAAAAATATATATTCTGTTAATTCTTAGCAGTTCTTGATAACCAAATAAAATAATCAAATGAATCATGAGAATGACAAGTGACAGAACTCCAAGGTTTTGACTCAAACCGCTCCCACACCATGTGGCAAATGCCTTACAACGTTGGACACATGGCCATTCGCCACATCGTGTGGGAGAGCGCTGACGGATTGCATGTGTCCAACGTTCGCCACATGGCACCTTCGGGCTCTTGTCGGCAAATTTGACCCGCGTAAAAGGACGTTACAACGTTGGAAGCATGGTTAGAACTAGTAGCGGCGACAAACATTATTTATTTGTTTGCTGTGATTGTGGTGAAGTAGTGGTATGTGGGAAGTATTTTGATTTGAATATCTACCTATTCATAATAATGTATGTTCCGTAACTAACTTTAGTATACATATACAGGGTGTAAACGTTATGATAGTCATTATTTAAATGGGTGATAGAGGGGGTTAAAAGAAGCAAAAAGTTTGATATAACATGGGGGTCAAGACGGCATTTTTTTTTAGAGAAATGCGACTTTAAAGAAAAATAAATCTGAAAACGCCGCAAAACTCTGCAAAAGGATAACTAACCACTGTTACCATTTGCGATCGAATGCCGGTTTAATAAGAGTGATGATGACCGACGCGCTGTTGTCAAGTGTGTTTTAAATACTCAATTTATTGAAACTTACTTTCTTACTGACTACAAATTTTGGCTAACTTAAAAAACTTAATGCCATTTATTTGTTAATTACTCAATTTAAAAACGTTTTAGATTAGATTATAAAAATTAGTAAGATTGTTGTGATTGTGGTCGATATAAAATACTTAAAGCTGTAAACTATAAAGCCATTTAGACAAAAATCTATTGACTTTTGGACCATGGGTCATATGAACTTTTTGACCCCCCCCCCTATTACCCATTTCAATAATGACTACCATAACGTTTACACCCTGTATACATACAAAACATAAGCTGCCATAACAACACTTTTTCATATTGCTAATATTTTGTACGTTTCGCAGGTGTGTTATGGCTGGCCTAAGGATATGTATTTTAGTAAATTATGAATTATCTAGTGCTTACAGTTGTTTTATTATAATGTCCTGTTGCAATGCAAGACTAGTTGAGAAATATATTGACTTCTATTTCATAACTAACGAAAAAGATTAAATAAATGATAACTCTGAAAGTACTATTACGATTTTGATGAAATTTTGACCCTAGGTTACTACTATTAAAATGACGAAAAAGCTCTGCAGTTTTTGAAAATCGGTACAGTGGCAATGGAGCTTCGTTTTTCGGCATTTTTGAGGCTTCTGGCAGACTTTTGGTCGCTGAGGACAGATCTGAAATTATTTTTCGGCGCTCGAAAAAGTTGTTTCATCGTTTATTTTGTATAATTTTTCCTTCAATTGTAAAGGTTCAAGCGCGACACTAACACCGATAATAGTCGTTGGCACCACCATGCGTCGAATGTCCGAGATTAAAAAGTTCATCCCATCGTGTAGGAGACACACTTGACAATTGTGGGGTGCCGAACGTTGTAAACAACGTTGTATACATTTAGTTATTTTATTTCCGAACGCAAGTTAAACCTTCCCTACACGATGTGGTGAATGCCTCATAACGTTGGACACATGGCCATTCGCCACATCGTGTGGGAGAGCGCTGACGGATTACATATGTCCAACGTTCGCCACATGGCACGTTCGGGCTGTTGGTCGCTAAATTTCTCACGCGTCAAAGGACGTTACAACGTTGGAAGCTTGGTTCGTTACGCTCCCACACTAGATGTCATGTGTTTGATGGTTTCAGGTTATGCCCTCTCCAGACTCACGCGCGATTCGCGCGCGAAGCCGCGAACTACCCGCGATCCATGAGTGTGGATCCCATTCGCGTATTCTTCGCGGCTTCACGTCGCGTTCGCGCGTTGTTCCCGTTTGTTGTCGGTTTTTTGTCCCGCGACAAAGGGTTCGCAAGGCGCGAACATGAATAGGCTCCACATTCGCTGGTGGTTCAGTTGCCTCATAGCGAGTGTCGGGAGTGGTTGTGTTTTTTCCACTTATTTTCAATTGCTCTAGTTTTACTTATATATGCGTAATTATAAAATGCCAAAGCGCAAAGTAGCACTGCAGCAGCAGTAGCAATTTCACCATCCATACTCGTCAAGACCGCGAACTATACTGTGAAGCAGGCGCGAACATCTGCGAGTGTGGAACTGTAGGAAGAAATTTCGGGATTCGCACCGCGATCCGAGCCGCGATTTCACGCCGTGATTCGCGCGTGAGTCTGGAGAGGGTATTAGAACCAGTAGCGGTGAAAAACATTAATTCCTTGTTTGCTGTGATTGTGGTGAAGTAGTGGTTTGTGGGAAGTACTTTGATTTGAATACCTACCTATTCATAATAATGTATGCTCCGTAACTAACTTTTGAGGAGAATGAACTAAATTAGTATACATACAAAGGGATGGCCTAAGGATATGTATTTTAGTTTTTTATGAATTATCAAGTGCTACGTTACTACTATGAAAATGACGAAAAAGCTCTGCAGTTGTTGTTTTTGAAAATCGGTACAGTGGCGGCAGAGTTTTTGTCGAAAAACAAACAAAAAACGGCCAAACTTCGTTTTTCGACATTCCTGAGGCTCCTGACAGACTTAAGTTTTGGCGCTCGAAAAATATGTTTCATCGTTCATTTAGTATAATTTTTCCTTCAGTAAGGTTCAAGCGCGACACTGACATCGATAATAGTCGTTGGCGCCACCATGCGTCGAACGTGCGAGACTAAAAAGTTCATCCCTTCCTCATCCTATCGTGTAGGAGATACACTTGCCAATTGTGGGGTGTCGAACGTTGTAAACAACTTTGAAAGCATCGTGTGGGACCCGCATTTCATGAACGGAGCCCTGTATAACAACTTGAGTCTTCATCATTTTTTAATACCCTTACCAGACTCACGCGCGGATCACGGCTTGAAATCGCGGCGCGGATCGTGGTGCGAATCCCGAAATTTGTTCCTACAGTTCCACACCGCAGATGTTCGCGCCTGCTTCACAGTATAGTTCGCGCTCTTGACGAGTATGGATGGTGAAATTGCTACTGCTGCTGCAGGGCTACTTTGCGCTTTGTCAATTTATTATTACGCATATATAAGTAAAGCTAAAACATTTGAAAAGAATTGGAAAAACACAACCATTCCCGGCAGTCGCTATGAGGCAACTGAAACATCAGCGAATGAGAAGCCTAGTCAAGTTCGCGATATATTTGCGCCTTGCGAACCCTTTGTCGCGGGACAAAAAACCGACAACAAACGGGAACAACGCGCGAACGCGACATGAAGCCGCGAAGAATACGCGAATGGGACGTACACTCATGGGTCGCGGGTAGTTCGCAGCTTCCCGAGCGATTCGCGCGTGAGTCCGGAGAGGGCATAACGGGTGCGGGTAAACATGAGTACCCCACAGAAATGGGGAAGTTTGTATTTTTATGAATGCAGAAGTGGTTATTATGTACTTTAAAACAGAAATTATTGCGGTTGAAGCATTTTTTCACAAAAAATAATATTTGCATATCATAGTTGTTACCCACAAAGCATTTAATACGTTTAATACCACTGACCGCTATCACTATGAACACGGCATAGAAACTTGTCAAAATTACACCATAGAACCGAAAAGTATAAACGACGGGAAGTACCTTTGACACTTTGACAGTCTTTGCCATAGCGGCGCTGCCACAAATTTCCATTTTTCTGTCATGCTACCACAATAATTTTAAGCATTTATTGTTTTCAGTTTTAGCATGAGCCAAACCAAAAACCATTGCCAGTACTTTTCATGTTATGCTGATTCAGGACTTAAATTGGGGACAGCGGTAAACCATTTCTATAAAGGTCACTGAAATGCGAGAATTTGTGGGAGTCCTGACATAGTCGAAGGTAACGAATTTAGATCATGAAGAAAGAGTCAGCCAAGGATTTGCTTGTCTCCTAATTTTCACAGTCTATAGCGCACTTAACATAAGTTAACTTTTTGATAGTTTTGTCAATAAATTCAAATTTTCAGTGTTCTTTTTTAAAAGTGCGAATCTTTGCAGATACTTTTAGTGTTAGACGGTTTCAAGATATTGTATTTCTTATATGATTTGCAAAGAGCATCACAAGCCTAATGAAGGTAGATGTATTATTATTTATTGTGTTGATACAACGCTGTCACTTTGGTGATCCCGATATGCTCGAGTCCATTCAGTTCACTCTTACACCTTCTGTAATCATGATACAGAAGTTCAAGTAGAGAAGAATCTCTAAACTTACATATATGATGACCGGTTGGTTATCCTAATACAGTTTCAAGTAGATACGAATCATCCTCGAATTCCACAAGTAGAAACTTGCTGCCTGGTAGATCCGATATATTCTCAGTACGTATACTTTATCTGAAGTCACTTGAAACACTGTGAAATACCGGGTGCGTTTTATATATCTAAAAAACTCTGGGCGCTGAAGAAAGACATTAAACGTAAACAGTGATCAGTACGTGAACAGATCCCTCGAAAGCATCCACGGATATACTCCAGTCACTTTAGGTCTAAACATCCTCGGCAGTGTATTTCTAGTGAATCCACAGACCCTTTTTCGTGTCATCTTGAGACTAGAAAAAGGATGACTGTTAAAATAAGTTACCTTGATCTTTCATGAGCTCCCAGTACAAAACATCATCGATATATTTTTGATGTAGGAACAACAAATTGGTTTAGAAAACATCCACTTTGAACCTAAATTGACTGGAGTAACATCGATCTACAGACAAATTCAAGGTCACTA